TTACTTTTTTTTTTGTGTCCCCGTTCCTCGCTTTTGCGAGGTTTCGAGGTCTTGTTCTCCTGTGCTACTGTTGTTAGAATCATACCCAGGGCTTGTTGCTCTACTGAACACATCCCCCGATTCTGTCGTTACCGTCCCTTCTTGCCATAGATCTGTTTCTGCGTGACGAATTATGTCTTCCATAATCAGAACTATCTCTATCTACAAATGGATGTGTGCGCGTTATTTGTGTTAATTGAAGTTTTGAAGTTAAGTTGAATCCTTGATTTGAGATTCTCTCGTGTTTGTTTTTTTGTATCCCGTTGATAATTTCTTAACTTACACAAGTTGTACACAGAATGGAAGATTTGAAGCTTACGGTTACTAGGGGGGGAATATAAAATGGGTTTCATACAGCTCCGACGGAGAGATTTGTGTCTTTCATTATGTCTTGTACTTCGCTTTCTTCGCTGTACCTTGTCCAGAATGAAATGCGAACGTTCTGTTTGATAGAGGAATGAACCATCGTCTAGGCTAATATCATAAGCCGTTGAAACGTCCTCCATCTTCTCTCTTCATAGTCGCCCTCGAGGGCTTGCAGAGATGACATGCATCACCTACGTAGATCCCTCGCCGGGGCCTGAATCGATCATCACGAGGCTGGCATGTTGAGGTTTCTCTCAATTCGGACTGAGCTCGCACCACGCATTTCCACCGTATGGACTGCCAGTAACCATGGATGCCGACACGCTGACCGACAATGGGCGAGAAATTTGGAAAGCCTCGTGGTGATCCAGCCCCGATGCCATCATGACCATCCCCCCAAGCCCGCAGCTAGCACAACTCGAAAATATCTCATAGCAAAGAGAACCAAAATCCGACTTGCTTCAGGACAGAAACACTACCACCACATCAGCACCACCTCCTATCAAACCGGGAAAAAAAAGAAAAGAAAAACTCACCTGAAGACCTCAAGCCCACTTATCATGTTTCCCACTAACCTTAACATCAAGCAAAACCTCATGAAAATTCCCCTCCCTCCTCCCCTTCCTCAACCTCCTAACCTCATCCTCATTCAAGTCCCTCCCAACAATCCCCTCAAGCTCCTTCTTACTAATCTTCTCATAAGCCTTACTCTCCTTGGAGGCGCGCAACTTCGGCTTAAACCTGGCCTGCATGCGCACGCGCACCGTCGTCTCAAACGAAATCGTATTCGCGTCTCCGCGGATCTCCACCCCAGCAGCTGCTTTGGAATTCTCTTTTATCGACAGGAAAGATTCGCCGTCGCCGCCGTGTGTTTGTAGAGAGAATGTCCCCGAGACTTCGGGGGAGGGGATTGCTAGGAAGGATTCGTAGTGGCTGACTGCTGAGGCGGTTGCGCTGAAGAGGCCGTGGGTGTCTGAGGAGAGGTATCTGTGTGGAGGGGGTTGTTAGTTGGATTGGATTGGGGGGAAAAGAAAAAATAATGGGAATGGGAATGGGGATTCGGGGAATATGGGTATTGGTATGCATATGCTGCAATCAAACGCAGTCTAATCCACTCACTTCCCATGATGACCCTTAAAACTAAACGACTCCGTCCCCGCCACCCGCGACGCAACCCAGACCTGTCGCACATCGTGCGGTTCCGCCGTGGCCGGGTCTCCCTCGACGAGGTTCTCGAGCTTGCTGGCAAAGACTTGGCCGTTGGCGTCACTGGCGACGCAGGTTGGGTTGTCTGAGGGTAGGACTAGGACTACTGGGCCGGCGATGTCGCTTGGGGACTCGGCGGAGACCCAGCTTTGGTCTTCTGGGTTGTCTTCCGGTTCGGGTTCGGTTTTGCGCGATTTAGGGGTTGGGGCTTCGTTGTCTGCGGTGCGGGTCTTGCGCTTCTTTGGCTTGTCGCCTTTGAATGTTAGGGGTTTGACCATTGTGCTGGTTTGGGGAATTGGTGGTTGTTGGAGCTTGGGTGGAGAGTTTGCGTAGGGCGTAGGGTGGGGAGAAGCCGGGCTTGGCTGCGATGACGGAGTATGCCGTTTCTTGTCTTCCTTTCCTCTATTTGTATCCTCTCATATTTTGTTAGTATAACCCCCTCTCAATATAATATCATAGATTATATTTGAGAATAAGATTATTAATCTCAAAAGTACCTTGGTCTAACAAGGTCCTCAATTTCAAGTACATATAAAGTCCAAGATGCCCCATAGTTCTAGGAAGAGAGTCAATTCTATTAACCATCCTCTATGAAAATGTACTTTGTATGATGCAATTCACAGTGAAATCCAGATCTAATCGAAGACGATGGCAGCCTTGATAGCGGTTTTGTTACGCATCGCCTCAAGACACTCCTCCCACTGCTCAATCTTGTACACCTTATTCACAATGCCATCGACCTTTACCTTTCCAGAGTCAAGATAGTCAACAGCCGCAGGGAACTTGTATGTCTCAGAGAAACTGCCGAGGATAGTGATCTCATCACCGACTGGAAGGAAATCAGCGAAGCACCCAAGAGAAAGCGACAAGAAAACTCACAGATCTTAGCCGGCGACCACGAGACCCGAACCTCACTCGAGTACACGCCGTACACCACCAACTTACCACCACGACGAACATAGTTAATCGAGTCCTCCAGAATTTTCTGGCTACCAGTGGCCTCAACAACAATATCGAATCCATATGGATTCTCAGCCTTGAGAGCATCGAATTGAGCCTTGGGACTCTCGCGCGACAGCTCAATGTACTTATCACCAGCACCAAGCTTCTGAGCCAAATCCATCTTCAAACCCCCAGGAGCAACAACAACGACATTGCAACCACCGTTCTGGCGCAACATCTGAGCCAATACCAGACCAGTAGGACCAGCACCGAAGATCAGCACGGACGAGCCCATCTTCGGGGCGATCTTGTCCAGACCATGGGCGGCGCAGGAGGCGGGCTCGAGGAGAGTCGCGTCAATGTCGGAGAGGTTCTTGATCTTGAAGACTCTGCCAGCTGAAAGGAAATCTCAGATCAGATTTGGGGGCTTGTTATAAGCTTTTGAGACCCTCTACTTACCAGGGTAGGCGCAGTACTCAGCAAATCCACCGTTCATCGTCACACCGTGAGCCTCAAAGTGCTCACAGAACAGCTCATCGCCACGACGGCAGTAGAAGCATGTTCCGCACAGCTCGGAGTTATCGGCGACGACTCGCTCGCCGATCTGGAAGTCTTTGACCTTGGGTCCAATGGCGGCGACTACGCCGACGGTCTCGTGGCCGGGGATCAGAGGGAACTATGGACTGTTAACACACCAATGCGGGGTGAGCGCTTGATATGGTGGAAAGACCATACCTTGGCAATGAATTCACCCTCGTGGATGTGCAAGTCAGTGCCACAGACACCACAGGCCTTGACCTTGATCTGATGAGGGTTTGCTTGGTCAGTCCGCTTCCCCACAAATTGATGGATGGCTTCATACCAGGACATCGTTCTCGCGGATCTCGGGCACAGGGACCTCAACGATCTTGTGCTTCTTGGGCTCTGAGTACTGCAGAGCCCGCATGGTCTTGGGGATTGAGATGGTCATGATTGAAGGTGGGATGTGGTATGTGGAGAGGAGGGGAAGGTTGATCAGATACCAAAATCTTTTGGAATGAAAAGAGGGGGAAGCAAGATGATCAAAGCAATATAAATAGCCTACGAAAGAGGGGCAAGCTTCTCTCGAACTGTTTCATCAAAGCGCCCCATGCATTGTTCAGACGTCTCCTTCGGACGAAGTATACAGATCAGTGTCACTTGCAATTCGATGTGGGTCGAGATCGGCGTCATTTTTGTACTTGCATTCGACTCCACTGGTATGGGGGATCGTTATCTATGTGATTTCTCATCTATTCAACTCTTCTTTATCTTCAAACATGGGGTTTGCGTTTACGTTTGCGCCAAGTGAGGTCGAATCGGGAGAACCCCGCGGAGCTCAGTGCAGGGGTCCATCTTGGGTTTCAGCAGTCATGGATCTTGTATAGGTCTTGATTGATCTTCAATGTGTCATTATTATTGCAACTATCACTTCAATGACTTCAATGGATCTCTTGAAGATATCGCAAATGGCCTGATTCACCATCCAAACGGCCAAAACACCGGGTACCTGTCAGCACCGATATCCCAGACATACTAACCCAAAAAGCTAAAATTCTCTTCCCCAACAGCTGACCAACCCCTCGGAAAAAGACAAAACGAAACCAAAAAGAAAGTCCCAATCCCACACCAAGAACCCAATGGACTCACCGCTCCCTTCCCCGCGGCACCCGCCAAGCCGAAGAAGCAATTCCCAAACCAAAAGCATCACCATCACCAACCAGATCACGCGGAACCGGGCTACAACCGATAGCTTAATTTTGAATCCGGGGGTAATCAGAGCTATCAAGTGAGGCGTCCAAATCGACGCATCGAGACATATGTGCTGGACATTCTTGACCGCTGCGGCAAGAGCGGGAAATGGCCCCGGACGGATACTGCAGATGGGCTGTGTGATTCCGAGTCAATTGGCGAATTATTCGTGGGATACCGTGTTATCGGCTATTATGACTTGAGGGGTCTGTAGAGGGGTGCATATGCGTCACACCGGATATGCAGCCACGTTCTTGGGGCGAGGTTTGTGGTACTGGGTCTTACCCCGGGTTGAGGGGGGTTGCTTAGGCTTGGGAAAGGGTCTGGTCGGTTTGGTTGGGATCCAAATCTGGATGCTTTGGTTTGATGAATTATAACATAGAGAGTACATCCGAGACGGATTTTGGGACTTTGCTGTTGTCTTGTTGTCTCTTTGCATGTTACGAAATCGACTAACTCCACTTTGTACTGCATTGACTTGAAACAGGCTGCAGGAAGGACGCCTTGACACTCGCTGCTACTTAAATTGATGTTTCAGTATTATGACGTCTACATCGAGGTCGTATCACCGCGTCGGTGAGCTTCCAATATCCAAAACATGAGAAAGAGGTTGAGGCTTGGTATATGTATAGCTAGCCCTCACAATGCGTTAGAACACTGCATTGGCTGAAGTGCTCTTAATTCCCTAGTCCAAGCTTTTTATACTGATTGACAAACTCTCCAAACAGCTTGTTAAGCCCCAAAATGTTCAACGGGTCCTTGTCATCATCCTGATCCATAAAACAGAGCATGTTATGGATTTCAAACGTGATAGCCAGCATGAACCCGAGCTCAGCTTCCATAAAAACTTGTTCCCCTGTATCCGAGTCACCAGTCTGCTCGTTCCATTTCTTTGCATATTCCTCGCAAAAGTGCCTCTTCTCCTCTTCCGTGTAAGGTCGGCAGTTCGCAATCTTGTCCTCCTCATCAAACCACAGGAACATCTTTTGCAAAAAGTGCCCACCAATATCGAACGCTCGGTAATTTTGAAAGACGAATTCGAAATCTATAAGGACAACCTTGCTTTCTCCTTGCTTGGGGCTGTTTTTCACCATCGTATTCATGAATTGAACATCGTGGATACACCATCCCTTTTTCCCTCCGATAGATTCCAGCCTGTCTGTGACTCGTCTTATTCGATACACAAAGTCATAATCAACAAGACCGTCCATATTAACGCCTCCTTCGTTGGCTAGTCTTTTTAGCTTGGCCATCTTATGATATTTTGCAAGCTCTCCGGTGACTGCATCGTAATATAGCTGAACCGGTTTCTTCGTCCGTTGTGTCGCCATGGTATGTAAAACGGCATTTTCTCTCGCAATATCGGCTCGGATATGTGCGTCTTCCACGTCTGCCGGCTTCAAATTGCGCGCATCTAAGAACTCGTCGATTCTTCCGAAAACGCCATCTTGTGTCTGGAAGAACCCATACACCTTGGCTCCAAGACCTGATTGAGCGTAATCAGAGCATAGTTGTGCCTCTTCGTGTTTATTGGGAACCAAGTGCTTGAAGATTGCGATTTCTCCGTCGAGTTCGCCGTGGATCTTGAGGAATACCTTGAGGGGCTCGGAATGTGTGGCGCCCTTTGGCTTCGGTCGTTCCACGACACAGTTTGTGTTTGCGTATCCGGTATTGCGTGTCACAACGAGGGTTTCTGGGTCCACATTTGGCCACTCGTTGGTGAGAAACTTGCTGATAATATCTTTGACCATGGCCTTGGTCAACGAGCCATCTTCTGGAATAGTCACAGGGACGATTGTGATGGTTTCCATCTTGTGTTCGTGTGAGACAATCATGATCTAAAAGGTCTGATTGCAGTCAAATAGCAGCGGCAAGAGACGATATTTTCACATCGATAGAACGGGACTTCCAAGTTTATCTATTTGAGATTAGATACAAAGAAAAGAACTTAGGTACTTTGTGAGTCATAGGAGGTTGCCCAGGCAGCCCCAAAAGATGAGGGGTGATCATTACATGATGGTGCTGCTGGCTTGTGAGGCTGAGCAGATAATCCAAGTTATTCCTAGGTAGAAACAGTGCCAGATATTGCAGATGATATTGTAGCTTCGTAATAGATATACAAGCATATTCATGGATTCTCAGCAAACAAAAGAGCCGTCTCTGACCCAGGCCAATCCAACGAAGCATCCATAAACCCAAACAACGGATCATACGGAATATCAAGTCCAAACAAACCCGTATCATGTTCCTGCCCAGGAGTAGGAAACTCTATACCATCACCATTACCAAAAACAGAAGATCTGCTCGGGAACATCCCAACAATAGCATCGAGCTCAAACCCACCATTCGAGCCATCCGCCGGAGAAACAATCTCAACCTGAGAAGCAGGAGTCATTGTATCGCCCACGGAAAGGTCAAGCTTGCTTGTCTCAGCCAGTTTCCGTATAATGCTTGCGGGCTTACAGACGCCAGGATTCGCCACGGAGATCTCATCGAGGCAGACGAGACCTGCCGCTAAGCGGGAGATATGCTCCTTGTGGTGAGCATTTGCGAAGGCGTTACGGACGTGGATTGTGCATGCTACGTAGATGGCGTAGCTGAGAATATAGGGTGCGCCGTGGAGACCGTATGCGGATTTATATGCCAGCGAGATACTCGTGATACTCTTGGCAGCTGTGGTGCAGCGGCCCCATGATGAAGCTGACGTTGTAATGGATCGTAGATGGCCGTCGGAGATGAAAGGTCGATGGAGGAGGATGATAAGGGAGTTGTAGATGCCGTGAAGGTTCATTACATTGGGAGCTGGATGGGGTTGTGGATGAACATCACAACGTGACCATGGCTTGAATTCTAGTTCAGTTGGTAGGTTTTCTTTCCAGGAATTGAGGGCTTTGTCCGCGAGCTGGAGACTAGTGGTGGCGGAGCTTGGGGAACGCACTCCGCCGACTGTGTAGAAGTGATTGGTGATCTTGGTCATGATCCTAGATAGAAGACAGAGCTGTTGGAAAGTAGAGATAGAATATATCGGGGGTTGTGAGGATGATGTATGCAATTTCGAATCAGGAGCCGGTATGAACAGCTCATGTTCCTCGAATGTATCAAGGAACTCACGACTGACATGCGAGTCGCGTAGGTTCATAGCCACCGGCCGGCCGAGGTAGAGACTTTGTATTTTGTCGCAGACGAAAGCACCCCAAAACACACGGCGACGGATCTCCGTTTCTTCAGCGTCGTCATTGGTCTCCTTGGGGTCGAGATGTAATCCCAGATCATAGACCATGCGCAGAGCATAGCCTGTGTATAACCAGCCCTTTGAAGTTTCGCCACGGGCATTAAAAGTAGACCCAAGAAGCAAAAGACCTATTATTGTTGGAATACTTGGGCGAATGAGATGTGATTCCTGGGCCAGGAGCTCGTCACAGCGGCGAAAGAACCGCCGGCCTGCCGTGGCCGGATCACCTGGGTCCTCGCGTACGTCAAGACGGGAGGAAAACTTGCTTGCGCAGGCAAAGATGGCATTCAGCAAAAATCGAGAGCAGTTTGGCCCATCGCCTTTAGGCAGATCACGCATGATTGCCGGGCGATAGGTTAGAAGAAAGGTGTGATGTTGCCGAGCCCAGTGTACATCTAATAGATGCAGGGCGAGCTCAGTAGGCACGCCATCAATGTCTGGGAGATGAAATAGCAGACGCTCATTTTGTCTTTGTAAGGCTGCATTAGCTATAAGCTTATTTTTCATGTGCTCTCTGTTCAACAATTGAGCCGAAGGCACTGTGGACAATGATACGCTTTTATTCGGATAATGCAGGGCAGATGAAGGGCCAAAACTGCCAGGTTGACCTGCCTCATCTACAGATATAAAAGGTGCAACGTCAAATTCTTCATTCGAAGAGGTAGCTAGGCTGTCAAGGCTTTGCCGGCGGTTCTGGCTATGTGAATTCTGGTTGGATTCAAGACCTTCGGCCACTGCTAGGCTGGGTTTGTTTCCCTCTTCACCTTTCAGTTTGATGATGAAAGATTTGAGTTCTGTGTTCTCTCGTTGTAACCGGTCTATTTCAGCCAGGGTCGGTCTAGTTTGGTTAACCAATTATCCAAAACGCAAGGGAACATGCCCACCTCTGCCGTGGCGTCTCCACCCGATATATACATTCCCGGCCTTGGGTCTTGCAAGTCGAACAGCGAGGCCGGATCGTGTCACAACGGATCTTTCGAGATCGACAGGGTAGACATGCTTTAGCGAGGGATTTAGGAGTCCTGGTCATAGCCGAGTTGTGGTGAAGAGAAAATGTGGGGTAGAATTTATAGCCGTGAAGATCAACATCCATATGTCTGGCGGCATATGTACGGCAGTTTATACAAATCTGGGGAATCGAATTTGAGACCTAAAAGGTGTTAGTTCGTCGACATTTCACTATAGTGGGCATTCCACCTACCTGTATTCCTGCAATACTACAAGAGAACACGGGGTTGAGTCTACTATTGAGCTTAGCGTGTCGTTGGGATAACTATATCTTTCTGGGGTATATACGTGTTCCGGTGATTTTCGGAGGTTACATCACAAGAGTCTTGCAGGTGTCTGGATAAGTATCCATGTTAATTAAGATCTTTATACATATGTGAAAGGGATATCTAAATGCATTATGTTATTATTCCACATGGAATGTGCATCTGCCCGGTGTATGCAATCGCTTTCTAACGCTTGGTGCTGGTGCTATTCTTGAGCATCTCTTCCAAATGCTGCAAGCCAAGTTAGTCGTAAGATCTCATGATAGACACAATTCAAATGCTTACCTGCTTCTGTTCAACTGCTAATTTGCCTTGGGTATCCTGTTTCCGATTAGCGCGAGTTCCCCAAACACAGAGATAGCAACATACGCTAATGATGGTTAAAATCAATGAATAATTGTTGAAGAGGAATCGCTCTCTTCGCTTTGCGTCTGTGCCGTTGCGACTCAATTTTGCCAAAAGAGAATCGAATTCAGCAGTCAACCGGGCCAGACTGTTGGACACCGGCTCATCATCACCAGCATCGCTGCTGAGCACAAGGATGCCATGAAGAAGCTGTCCAAATCGTTGAGTCAAAAAGTGGGGCGCCGAAGACTGCTTCAGGTCGTCTCCGCCTGCAATCGAAAGGGCGGAGACAGCACTGCGCCCAGTGTTGGACCCAACTCGCTTGAGCGAGTCGCCGTGGTAATCCATGATCACTTGGAAGCGCGGCCAGAGCTGCATGTTGGTTCCATTCACATACGAGTCGGCGACGGGCACCTTTCGGCGTTGAAGCTCAAACGCCGAATGTTGATTGAGGCGAACACACATAAGTACACCCAGAGAATCTGTGGTGTGCTCGATTAACTTCTTGGTCTGATTTTGGCCAAGGGTAAAAACCTGCTGGAAAATTTCGACGGCAGTGCGGGAGATTTGATGGAAGGTCATTGGGGAGAAAAACTCAGTCAGGAAAGAGTATTCGGCACACACATTGTCCACCAATGCGAGGTTGAAGTTTCGGAACGGAACTTCGATCCCATGGTAGGTGTTATCCTCTTCGGCCAGGTATGAGGATAGAGCCTGGAGATTGCCAGTTCGGAGGACATCAATACGTCTACCCAGGGAGAAAGGGTCATGTACGGCAGAGCCAGCTCGGCCGCCAGGCATCATGTTCCCTGAAATAATCAGTATATAGGTGGTATCAGAGAAGCATAGCTCTTACCTGATCGATGCGTGGATGGCTCGCCTCCAAGCACCTCGTTTCGGTCAGGAGGATAAACCTTGACCTTATCGAGTGCTTGAAGATAGCGTGTGAAATGAGACGTATAATACCAGCGCATTGTGTTAATGTAAGCCTGTGATATCTCTCCTGCCAGCTTTGGGTGGATCTTCGAGAGATAACTGTATAGATCTTTAAACTTCACCAATCGCTGTTGTTGAATAATCTGACTGTTGATGTTTGGCGATCGCATAGCACGAATTTGTGACACAAGATAGTCTCTGATCCTTTGAACCGCCTGCATAGATGTCAATGCAGGTCTAGATAATTTGAGTGTAGCATACTCACTTTGGTCTTGACATCGGTCAAAAGGGGTCGTACATCCTCGACAGCTTTATAGCCATTGGAGGAAGCGGCGGCCTTGGCTTCGATATTTGTTGTTCGAGAATCGATCTCGTTCAATGCACGCACCCAATTCTCATCAATTGGGCCTTCGACAATTGTTCGCACGGCCTTGGGGGAGATGCTGATCTCCTCCACGGCAGGTCCCAGCAACCGTTCCACGTTGCGCCTATTCTCCAGCATCGCGTTCAATTGTGTTGAGCGAGATTGTAAAGTTTCAATTTCCGCCGATACGGCACCCAGTTCATTCTGGAAGTCATTCAGGTACAGCTCAACTGACCTGGATACCTCATCACATCCAGTAATGGATGTGTGTAATTCTTGAAACTTATCTCGTTCTTGTTCAAATTGCTGAACGGTTTGCGCGTTTACATCACTTTCGCGGGTCTTTTTCCTTGGTGCTGGATCCTCCTTTTCCAGAAAGTCTTCGAGACTCAGCCCGTCGAAACGGATGGCTTCCACCAATTGCCCCGGTCGTTCCGGCATCGAGGATAGTTGCGGCACATCCTTATCTGTTTGGTTTTCCTTTCCAATAATTTCATTTAAGACTTCCAGTGGATCGGGGACATTAGCCGGTCGAGGTCGTTGAATACTCGTCTGCTTTAAAGGAGAGCCATTGGACCCCCGTGCAGTTCCTGGAAGAGATGTTGTAGAGTCGTTGGGGGTCACGAGAAGAGATGTTGAAGTCCTAGATGTTACACCAGGGCGGCTATTGTAGGGACTTGGAGATAGCTGGGAGGATGATCGTCGCGGTAGAGGAGAAAGGTTGCGGCTATTCGCTCCGGAGGGAGTTGACTGGACTGAAATGCGGTCGCGCCACATTGTGTAAAAGGATGGACGGCATGGGAGTCCAGCCAAAAGAACAAAGAGATCAAGAGTATACTCGGAAAATCAATCCAAGCAACGTCAACAATAAGGAACGTTGGTAGTTGCTAGGTGAGTTCAGGACACTCGGACACTCTCCTATATACACTAAACCCAACAAGGTGGACAACCCTCTTTGACCAATCATCGTCCAGTAAGCGACCCCGCCACAGCGTTGCCGCCCACGATAGATTTTAGTCCTTGATTTTCTCTCTCCTCTTCTCTTCATTTTTCCCCTCCCCAAATTCTTTGAAAAACTCCCCTCTTTCAACCCCTCTACATCTATTCACCATGTCTGCCGAGGAGGTATGTATTTTCTTTTACAAATTCGAGATCCCCCAATGGCTGTCTTGAGGATTTCTATCCAAGCCCCGCATGCGGCTCCCCCTCCTCTTCTCTTCTCGAGGGCACGAGGCCATATTGGACTCTTAACCCCGCCCTATTGCCAATTTTTGAAGCGCTTGCTAACCTGATCCAATATAGCACGATGTCACTTTCGAGTCGGCTGATGCCGGAGCTTCGCTCACCTACCCCATGCAGTGTTCCGCTCTGCGCAAGAACGGCTTTGTTTGCATCAAGAACCGCCCTTGCAAGATCATTGACATGTCTACCTCCAAGACTGGAAAGCACGGCCACGCCAAGGTTCACTTGATCGCCACCGATATCTTCACCGGCAAGAAGCTTGAGGATCTCTCCCCCTCCACCCACAACATGGACGTTCCCCACGTGATCCGCAAGGAGTACCAGCTCGTGAGTTCCCCTGATGACTTGAAATTTGGATTGTTTGGTTGACGAATATTAGCTCGACATCAACGATGGCTTCATGTCCCTCATGACCGACAACGGTGACACCAAGGATGATGTCAAGGTCCCCGAGAACGATGTTGGTGACAAGATCAACCAGATGTTCTCGGAGGATAAGGATTGCAGTAAGTTACAACAATATATCCAAACTCTAGGGAATTATTGCTGATCTGTTGCCATTAGACGTTGTCGTCCTGACTTCCATGGGCGAGGAGGCCGCCATGGAGTGCAAGGAGGCTCCCAAATAAATTTAATACCTGGATTTATTACCTGTTATGCCAACCTTTATGTTCCACGAGGGCTCAAAGCCTGCCAAAAAATGTATCTTTCATAGTTCAAAGGAGGATACGATTCTTTGAATGATTATGCCCGTTGCTTCAAGATCTGTCCCCCACAGCCTTGGATGTGGGCTGGACCGAAGAATTGCTTTGGTTGGCATGATATGTGTTGTCCGAACAGTTCTGAGTCTCAGCATCTCATGATAGTGTGATGAATGAATAAATACTCAATCTTGCTTGACTACACGAGGGTCCTAGTAAATTATAACGCAGATGAATGAATGTAGAGCTCAATTACACCCCAAACCAAACAATATACATAATTGTAACATCAGAAAACAAAGTAAATCAAAAAAAAAAAAAGTACATACATATGTACATAAAAACTTGCAATTTAATCGTCTAAATAGTCGACGGATCAATCACAGCGCGCGCATTGCGGGACATGTGGAGCGACAAAATCGGCGGTCACTGGAATGGAGGCAGAAAAAAAGTCCCGCTATCTCGGTATACCAACCCTTCCTTATCAAACAAGCATGAACAAATCCCTTGGGGATGGACTACGTTACCCGAGGGGTCTGCGGTCAAGATGGTTGCCGTGAGACCCGATATTATCTCGACAATGGACTTTGGTATTGTCGGCGCGGCCATTTGCAGGAGGTATGACTTCCATCGGCTTTCCTAACCTTATCCTATCGCTGCATCAAATGCCAGGAAGTTCACAGCTAATGTATGTCGTAGGGTGTCCAAGTCGCAGAAGATGCCGACGATTTCGGAAACCTAGGCAAAACACATCGCCTGAAGAGAGAAACCAGGGAGAAGGCCAGCAAGAGTATGTAATAAGCAGTTTGAACATCGTTCTCTTGGCTGACTGTTGTCAAAAGCACTTCGTGGCCGTCCGGCCTACACGCTTTTCTTGCAAACCTACCAGCTTATCCTTTGGAAACAATGTCATGTCTTGATTCATGCACACGATTTCCCAGAGGAACTTGAGGTATGTGCATATGTTGCTTTATGTGTTCAAGGATGAAAGCTCACTCTACATTAGATCGTTGTTCGCGATCTCTGGGCTCTTCGTCTGCAAGATTTTGAAGCGAGAATCACTGAGGCTACTGAAGATGACGAGGATGATACCGAATCTGAACTGTTCAGCTCACAACCCGCAGGAAAAGGTGAATCTCGTGATGGATTCAAACCAAACTCGAGGTATCTCGAATGGCCTCGTCTGATTGATTCTGTTGCACTGTGTTATCTCGCAGCGTTTTTGATGCGGCTTCCTGTCTGTGTCAGTGATTTTCACGAGTATGTAGCTTCTTTCTTCTATGCAAACCCGGTTGTTTGCTTCTAGAATGATCAATACTCACATTCTACAGTATGATAATGCGGCAGCAGATCCCCTACGCTCGAGTCCTGGCAACTGTTCCTCGGGAAATGAGGGATAGGCTTCCGCCAGAACTGACTGGGATCCTTGAAGTCAATGTGAGTGTCGTCTGACTCCGAAACATTTTATCGGTTGGCCTTGGCTAATTTTGACAAAGACAATACCTAATGCCGAGCGGTTCCACCGCAGCGTCCTGGAAATAGCGCTGTTCTATCAGCGCCGATTTGAATTGGACCTTCCTCCATTGAATTCGCCCATGGTTCTTTTCCGGCTCATCAAGAGATTGGCTTTACCAAGTAAGAGAAACAGTCGCCACGTGATTGTCCAGTTTTATCTTAGCTAACGAGTTTTAGTTGAGATATATGATTCAACTAGGATCTTGCAAGAACTACTAGACTTCAAATTTCAGTATCCGACAACAAGTTCATACGATGGCCGAAAAACAGCACTTCTTCTTCCTGACTTGCAATTGATGGTGCTGATTGTCATTTCTACGAAACTACTTTTCCCAATCGATGATTTGAAAAGGTATCCCGACACAGATAAAGAGCCTGCTACGCAGGTCATGGACTGGACCGTCTGGGCACGCGCGCAGAACAATTTCGATCATGATCAGCCATTTGGGGAAAACATTGGAAAAAAGACTGCCATTCAGATCACAGACGAAGATGTGTTGAGCATGACATCTGCCCAATTAGACACTTACATGGACTGGTATGAACGCAGTTGGCTGGATACTTCTAAGGAACCCAGTCGCATCGCCGAAATGTTTCCCATCAGCCGGGCAGAACAAGATATCCAACCAGCCTCTACCGCTGCCCCAGAACCATCCTCTGCTTCTGTTCCAGCCGTTCCAACCCCTCCCCTTGACCCAGAATCTTTCTCTACTTCTCCCCCTGCCACTCCTGATACGACTCGACAAAAGCTCGACCTTTTGCTACAAACAGTCATGCAAACCCTTAGAACCAGAAGGGTCATCCCTGAAGACGAAGAGGCCGATCACAGGCGTCCCGGCGAGTGGTATCACCGGTATCGATGGGAATCACATCTCAGTGGCCCCGCACGGACTTTTTACGAGGTGGCAGCCCAGCTCGCTGCAGTCCCATTGAAAACTCTTGTCCGTGCTGTCACGGTTGTTGAGTTTAGGATCGCACAGCAAGATGAAGAGCGACAGAACAGAGAGTACTTCGCTAGTTTGGAAGGAGAAGGAATGGACACTGACGAAAGCGATGTTGACCACACGTATGGAATTGCTGATTTTGAAGAGGACATGTACGACTCGGAGTCCGAAGATATGGACGATGATGATTTAATGTCCAATTCAAAGATGTGGTAGACCATCTAGAGGTCGATGAGGAAGTGCGTTGTATCATATGCATGGCGTTGGGGCTTCGGGATCATGTATCTGGCGTTCACCTTTTGTACATCATTTTATCTCTAGTTCAATTATTTGATTTCCTAAGGTTGCTGTGAACTATTGTTGTCAGTTCTCGACGGATTGGTATTTCCAGCTGAGTTGATGATCGAAAGAGTTGCTTATTTGATCAGGAAATGCCATTGAAAACAGAAAACAGTATTCATTTATTTTTAGTAGAACTTCCATGGATCTCCAGGGCTACTACTCCGTATACCTGACGTAGGTCGATGCACTGCCAAGTTATCATTGGCTGGGTTGGCCGGGTTGCTTACATAATGTATATCGAAAACGGGCAACAACTAGGGCTTAGGGTACCCGGATCGGTCCACCTTTGCTAAGCGAGCGAAATCCTCAAATTGACAATCGACAGCTCCGCCTGGAACACAGCGACCGACAGCCGACAACAACGAAAACTCGCAACCAGTACGTCCCATACACCCCGTGCAACAGCGTCTATGCATCGCTATGGATTCAGTGAGCTAACATCGTCTTTTTCCGCGCCGTTTCAGTGCAGATGTAGGTCATTCTGAACCCTTAAATGTCATCGCGAACCACAATCCCGATCCATCGCCGATACGACCCAAGCCCATGGAGGAAAAATGAATATGGACTAATACGGTGCGATATAGTTTCGTCAAGACCCTGACGGGTAAGACCATTACCCTCGATGTCGAGTCGAGCGACACCATCGACAACGTCAAGACCAAGATCCAGGACAAGGAGGGCATTCCCCCTGACCAGCAGCGCCTGATCTTCGCCGGCAAGCAGCTTGAGGATGGCCGCACCCTGAGCGACTACAACATCCAGAAGGTAGGAACCGGAATTCAACTTTTGTGATTTGGACCGAAAGTGGGGGCAATATGGTATCTCGGGTGGATCGGATCAATCCGACATGTTCTTTGTCCAGAGATAACTTTGCCCACGGATACGCAAGAGGAGGAATAATCGCTTGACGTTATGGTCTATGGTCTGCGAAATGGTGGAACATTCGCTAACATGCGATATCAACTCGTTATAGGAGTCCACCCTTCACCTTGTCCTGCGTCTCCGTGGTGGTATCATTGAGCCTTCCCTCAAGGCCCTTGCCTCCAAGTTCAACTGCGACAAGGCCATCTGCCGCAAGTGCTACGTACGTTTACCCCGCCTTCTCCGCTTGCGCCCGATACTCGTCATCAAACCGCTTTTCGTGGCAAGGCCATTAGTTACGTCAACACATATACTAACTCGGACCTTCTACAGGCTCGTCTCCCTCCCCGTGCCACCAACTGCCGCAAGAAGAAGTGCGGACACACCAACCAGCTCCGCCCCAAGAAGAAGCTCAAATAGACGACTCGCTCCTCGGTCTTGTGCTCGGCGTGCTGTGGTGCAGATTCCAGAGATGGGGATTGGCTGGACTGCTACATGGAGAGGATTACAAATGGCGTTAGATATGATGATAAAATCAATGCAGCCACAGTCATACTTTTTCTAGTTGGCTCCTCTCGACGACCAAGTTGCACTCCATGAAATGAAATGTGTAAAATTCAAAAAGTCGAATTGTTTCACGTCTCCAAATTCCATCTGCGATAAATACAGAGTACAATACATGCATGCGTTCAATAACACGACTAGAAAACTCGAGCTGCGAACCCTGCTACCTGAGCAAGAATCGACGGAATGGCCGGTATTCCAGATGAAAGCCAATGGTCCATCCTCCCCCGCTTATGCCCGGAACATCATTCCTTTCTTTTCGTCCTTCTCATCGTCGTGATCCTTATCCTTGTTCTTCTTTGAGACGGGGCTTCCGTGGCTAGTAGATATGTCAGTTCAAGGTCAATTCGGCTGTCAGACAAGGACAAAACTTACGCAAAGAAAAGCACCTTGATAGCAATAGCCAGTGCCGCATGTAGCACAACAACCAAGATCAAGAGGATCTTGCTAGCCTTGGCATCAGTAGCATTCAAGACCGGATACAAGTTCCGCAGAAGGAAGAAGACACTCCAAGCAAAGCCAACGCCAACAAGCGCCCAGTTAAGCGCAGTCAACGGACTCCAGCTGACCAGTGCAACGGCAATCCAAACCAAATTAGAGTACCCATACAGAGCCCAGCACTCAATAAGATCAGCCGTCGAGCTGCCGAACCAACGCAGCGCTCCCCACAGGGCAATAGGCAAGATGCCCGTGTACCCATAGATCAGACCAGCTGCGCCCGATAGCAGCGTGAAGTCGTACTCGAAGTGCTTGTCGTCATTGTTCGACAGCCATTGCGAGATAGTGCCCGTCAAAAACAGGATAACAACCACCGTAGTCGCGATCCAGATCGGCCCGTACAGATCTGCGTTACCCTCTAGCACATCGAGGAAGTTGGTGCGCGGGTACACCGTCGCCACGCAGCGGCGGAAGACCTCGTTCGTGTCGACGTCGAAAAATCGCTCGTAGTAGTGCAGAGACCACCAGCTGTGCTTGGTCGGCGTACCGCCAGGGGACCGGTCACGGCGGCGCGATGGCCCGCCGCCCAGGAACGGGGCGTTGTCGCCTTGGACTTTGGCGGTTCTCTGGTCATTTTCAAAGTCTGGGTGGTAGGATTACTTGGTTAGAAAGCTGGGCTGGGCCGGTTCGCTTGGAGGAACTCACTGGAGGGGTGGAATTCGAGGTCTTCCTGCAGGTCGGTATGGCCAAGGTCGCCCTGCTGATTTGTTAGACGAAATGATGTATTGTTCATTAGAGTGCGCTTACATCTGCATCCACATCTACTACAACATCGTAGCCTCGGTTCGCCATGGTGGTTGGTTTTGAGGTAAGCTGTTGGAAGGGGAGTTGTTAAGTGTACACATCAGCTTCCGCAGATAAAGCCACCGCTCAAGCCACAACTGTGGGTACCACTACCCAGATGTCATACACGAGTATCAAATACATAGTTATTCTTTGCTCTACAAGTAAATTGACTGAGTTTTTTTATTATATATAAATACTCAAGTTGCGATCCTCATACATGAGGACTTTTATCTTGCTTCTGACATTTTCTCTCATTATCATACACATGCAATAGCAAGCATCCACCCGTGATACCTGACGCATTGACTTGAAGATTAAATCCAGTTTTGGATTGCCTTTTGAATTCGGCCAACATAAGACCAAATCGAGGTGTCGAGTCCTTTTTTGCGGATATAGAAAGATGCAGCTCCAACCAAGATAGCCAACGCCACAGAACCCACGGAGCGACGGTGGCTCCACAAGAAATCCACAGCTCGTTTCCTGCGCTCTTCGGTCCGAATCTGTTGAGATTGCTTTTCAAACAAGTACATCGCATATTCTGCGGTGTACTTGCCATGTGGGTCTCGTGAAGTTTTGAGCACGCTGCACCAGGGAATACGTTTCCAGGCTCCAAGTGGCAAAGATTCCGGCGGGTGGTCCTCAAAGAGCCGTGCCGCATGTAGAATGTGTCCATCCAGGTCAAGTGGGCATGGTAGCTTGGAAAGCGTAAAATGAAGCATCTCGGGCTCATCCACTGGAATTTCCAGCAACTCTTTTTTCCTAGATAGGATCATTGATGCGAAGAGGTAGATTGCAACCACGGGTTCTCGAGCTAAAAGAAAGTCGAAAAGTCGTGAAATGTCGCTGTATTCTTGAATGTCATGGGCGTATAGTGTCAGTGTAGCTGCGAGAGCGAAGAATGGTTCAATTATGCCAAGATGTCTTCTTAGCTCGGGGTCTGTTGTTTCGATGATTGCAGGAATAAGATGGAGATGTTTCACAGCTGGGGACAGCGATGGAAGCATGTAGTCACGTATGCGGAAAAGGGATATCTGTGTCACTGCTGACATGGCTTGCTTCTCGCCCAGTACCAATAGAAGAACCTGGACTATGTCGTGATATCCTTGGAAATAACAAAGCATGGGGTATTCCCTTAGTACTTGTGTGATCAGGTTAGATAGCTGCTGTTTCTTTTTCAACATTTCCTCCTCGGGAGCTAGACTCTATTAACATCCAAACTCATCTTGCACAGGGAGTTCTAATGGCATACCTTTTGGGTAGTAGACAAACGACCGGTTGACGTCGAGTTCTACCTGCTCCTCATCGGCGTGTCGTAAAACTTCAGTACTTGGTACCGTATTCAATGGTTGCCGTTCGTCGCATCGTAACAAAACAGGCCCTGTTCGCCGGTTAGTTGAATCCATATGTGCACCTTCTTTGGACCAGAATGACTCACAGGCTATCTGTCTCAAGCCATCTTCAAGTAACCCGCCTTCTGACGTTGCGTGCATAGCTAAGGCTTCCACGTCGCGCGCTGCACATGCTTTGCGGATGGCTCTCGCTTTTTCCGCTCGAGCCGTCTGTTTTGCTCCTTCATTCGGTTCAGAGTCTTTGGAAGATACCACCGGTGCAGATGTGTCCTCAGAGCTGGGATGATGATGTTCTCTTCCGGTATCTTCCATCGTTTGTCCGCTAAGATGTCGCCCTTCCAGGAGACCAAACAGCTAATACGCACACACACGAAAGAATGAAAGCTATCACTGTTTGTTTCTCAGTCTGGATGGACAAAATTCACGCCTTGCGTTCTGAATTTAGCTCAACAATATCGAGAGGCGGTCGGATATAGATCGAGGGCTTTTTCATCGGACAACGAAACGACGTGTCCCAAACAACGACTCAATGCCAAAGATGTGAGAGAATGGCTTTACCCTTAACAATTGAGGTCTCTTTGAACGACAACTGATGAATCTCTAGGCACATATACTCAGACGTGGAATTCTGAAGTCGAAAAGCGGCGGAGTTCCACTTGACGGCCTTAGGCATCGATCGGCAGCCGCGACATGTTTTCGCCGATAACAACATTCGCCCTGTGCTAGGCTTAGGCACAACGCTCCGGTTTAATAGCTTTGCGGTACTCATCGCAAGACCTCGGGCACATATAGCTGTGTACCGTGTTGTGCATCCTTGAGGCTCACGGTTTCTGGGGTTGCGACAGCTCATCGACGGGCGGTGATTGCATAGCTCCGGAATTAGCTTGGTCTCCGAGTGTCTGCCAATGACAGTGTTAACTCTGTGGTAAAGTCTTGCTTCCTGAAGCTTGGAAACCAATGGAGCTTGTGGCAGATATTTGCACATCTTCGAGAACTCCTACTACTGTATAGCGTTCGGGCAAGCTGTAAGTCGCACATTGATATTGGTTCCTCATATGTGGGGTATGAGGTACATTGGTTAATAAAGATATCACAGGGCTTGTCTGGGACGTACTGGACCGTGGAATTATTGACCGCCTGTACTCCCTTCATACTCGGGCTGTGTGCATCCGATATCAATTCACAGCCAGTATCGCATTTGGCAGTCGATGCATAAATTGCATTTGAGATATTCCACTCTTTGAAGTATGAAGACAAGTGGATCTCGCAAATATCAAATGCCAGTGCTATTGCCTTGTTTCCTGAATACAGAAAGTCACAGCAAGTGTGGTGCAGTTCAAACGGATCTTGGGGCTTGTTGCGCCTCAGGCCATTGCCTGACCGGCTCTTGATATTGCCTATTTCCTACTTTCCTACTTCCCTTCCTACCCATTCACTTACAACTTCGCCTTCCATCTTCTATTTCCATCTTCTATTTCCATCCTTGTCTCTCTCTTTGAGTTTCTTCACATCTCTCTACCCCGCTTAACGCCTTTGGCTTCAGAATCGTTTCCTCGTTTGCTTTTCGGTTTCTTGTGAAACCCACCCAACTACTGCAATGTCTGGCAACCAGCCCGGCACGCGTCCGACGCGTCTGGCTGGGCTGCTTACCCAGCCATTGATTCCCAGTCCTGTCATCAACTGGATCCTTCCAGCGCGTCTTCGAGATCAAGACCACAACGATGTGGTTTTCATTGGAGAGCGGCGAATTCAAATCAAGGAAGCCCTGCCCAGTGGTCATCTTCAAGATGTTGTTGAAAAATCAGACCTTGAAGGCTCGCTTATCGGGGCAAAAGTCATCAATGTAAGCACCCAGTTGCCTTGGGAATCTCAGACTCCATCAAGTTTTGGGGGTCAGTCTTACGACACGACCAAACTGCCTCCTCAAATCCTTTTTCTTGCTACGGACTCAAATGAGCTCCTCTTCATGTACTACTCGGAGATGGGAGATGGCCCATTTGTTTCCTACAATCGACCTCTGCCCCGCGATGTCAACATAGCCGACAAGTATGGCAAGCATATTGCTGTTGATCCCAAGTAAGTATCACCCATTGCTAACTCAATTGGATCGACAAAAGCTTACACCATGATCCAGATCCCGTGCGGTCGCAGTCAGCGCGTCGCGTGATTTCTTCGGTGTCTTGTGGTTGAAATCCCCCGGCGAACTCCAGATGCAGATGGCCCAGGGGAAGCTGAACCCACTCGAAAGTGTATGTGCTCATTATAATTTATTTGGCATGTGCCTGATATTAACAATCTTTAAACAGGAAATTTTCTTACAGGTGGATGGCGATATCCTGTTTATGGAATTCCTTTACCCGAAAGACAATAATGACAAACGGACCATTCTACTGCTCATCGTCCATAAGCTTGGCACAACACGCTCTATGGTGTTTGAATGGGATGAAGCTAGTATGCTTAACCGCATGAGTCCCAAACTCACCTTAATTTCTCTGCCTCAGCAAGACCAGTTGCCTAGCATGGTCATCCCTTTGGCCAAAGAATCCTCGTACCTCCTGATCACTACGAATTCCATGGCGATGTACACGCCCAATTGCTCATCTCGTCCGATGCGATACCCACCTATCATTCCCGATGCCGAATCGTCTGAAGCTGGACTGTGGACTCGCTGGGCCAGACCTTCGCGGAACCGGATGTATAGTCAGAGGTACGATGGAATCTTCCTTTGTCAAGAAAAAGGCTGGATCTATTATCTCGAGTTTGGCAACGACGGTGAACTCGAAACCCAGACTTCCCTGGGTCAACTCCACTGCGATGTTGATACAGCATTTGATATTCTTGATATGGGCCATGAAGGTGGTGACTTCATTCTCGCTGCTGGAAGCCAGGGTGATGGTGGGTTGTTTGTCCAGGAGGCACGGGATCACCCCAGATGTGTTCAGCGATTCCTCAACTGGGCACCAGTTTCCGATGGAGTTGTTATTCCCTCAAACCAAACACGCCTCTTCAAAGTTAATCCATATTGTTACGATCGGCTGTTTGTCTGCTCAACCTCTGCTTCGGGCAATGGAGCTATTACCGAACTTCGATACGGCATTGAGGCTCAGATTGGAGTATCGGCCGCATTGGGTGGATTGTCCAACATACGTGGTATGTGGGCTGTGTCACTCGGCGCTAAGGATTCAATCTACCTACTGGCCTCCGATCCGCTTTCTTCGTTGCTTCTTCGTACGACTCCCGATATGAGAGATGGCATTACTGCCCTTGAGGAGGACAGCTTGGATATCCAACAGACTTTGGCAATGGACTGTACACCATCCGGTGTTATTGTTCGGATCACAGAAAGAGCTGTGCACTTTTTCATCCCTACTGATTTCACTCTCAACAGCTGTGTTCAACATGATCCCCTTGTGTTTGTCACAGCAGCTATTGTGGATGGCCCAAGTTCCACTATTGTCATGACTACAAGAAGTCAAAAGGGAAATTTTCTCCATTTTCTTCGGATAGTCACGACCGAAGGACGTATCTCCCTATCTGATGATGAGGCTCCATACCCGCTCCAAAAAGAGCCCATCTGTATCTCCTACCAGAATTTGGGAGAAGTCGGATTCATTTTCCTGGGCACCAGCGATGGCACAGTGCTATCATTCGAGGTTTACAACGAGACTGGTGGAATCAAACAACATGCCGACACTCTTGTCGAAATCGTCAACAATCCAGAGGACATGTTAAAAACGATTGAAAGCCTCGCTGTTATCAAAACATTCTCAGACGGTAGAATTCACGCGTTCCTTTTCTGTGGTCTGCGAAGTGGCATACTTGTTCCATTCGAGATAGATACAAACGCCGTTAATGCTCACGGTGACCCTGTCTTCGGTTTCAAATGTGAGTCATCTTTGGTTCAAAATATCATTCCCCTTCACTAACCAGATACTTTCTCTTCAGGTTTGAAACAAAGAGCGCCACACCATCTTGGGCAAACATCAATCAAGCTCAAAGCCTACAATAAATTTGCGTTGTTTACATGCGGAGATGATTTCTGGCGTGTGTCATATGCCCCGGATGGCAATGGCTTTGATTATTTCCTGTCTCGTGTTTGGATTACAGATCAAAACTGCGTAAGTTATATCACATCCTGTCATTTTGAGCTATGACCTAACATTCATGCCAGCCCGCATACTTCCCTACCAGACTCAGCAGCTTCGATCTTGTTGATGTAAGAGATTACTGGTCTGGGATTCCAACTACATACATGTTTTGTTTTGCAGATGGTCAGCTTCTGGTGTGCTCTCTGGATCAAGAAGCAAAGGTCGTTCCCCGGCGCATTGACATTCCCGGAAATCCCAGCAAGCTCACCTACTCCCATCATCTCCGGAGTCTCATTGTTTCATATTCTGTCACCCAGATCGGAAACCAAGCAAGGCCTCTCGATCTTTCCCGCACGGCATGTGTTGAGTTTGTGGACCCAGACACACAGTCGCCAGTGGTCTCTAACGATATTGACATGGTTTCTCGAGGCCTTCTTCCCTGGAGACCACATGGAGTTTCTGGTGAGAAAATCACCTGCATCTTTGACTGGATGCCATACAAGGGTGGCAACGCATACCATCTTATCGCAATTGGGACTTCAATCAGTTTGCCTCATCAACCCAGTCACCGCCAGGGTCGATTGGTGTTCTTACAGGCGTCTCGGGATGCCAACGATCCTGGGCAGATCATTTGCACGGACAAGCACACACAATTGTTCAAGGACCCAGTTTATGCCATGGATGCATGGGACGATAGCTTGATTCTTGTCGCTGGGAAGAGATTCTTCACGGTCACCTCACGAAACTCAACAACGAAATGGGTTCGAAATATTACAGCTACTCTTCCATCCCCAGCTGTCGAGATGACAGTGCAAGGAAGCATGATCTACGTCACCACCTCAAGACATTCCCTGCTGGTCTACAAGATTGCAAATGGGGACATCCTGATGCACGGTTTCGACCCAACTGCACGCGATGGTTTGTCTCACACTTTATTGCCCGGGTATGGATTTCAATCGGATCTCCTTTTTGTGAGTACCCGAGGCGGAGCTACCCGGGCTTTCACAGAGCTCGATCAACCTGGTGATCTTGTGCCTCGTCCGACGGCCAATCTCCCCACCTCCTTGATCAAGCTCACTCAAGGCTGCAGGTATCCAACCTCGCTGAAGACCAGCCAGACCTTTTATGGTTTTGGCATCAATGGTTCGGTCTACAGGCTCTTGTGCCTTAATGCGAAGGAGTGGCGCCTTCTTCGACTTCTGCTCAACATCTGCCTTAGGGATGAGGTCATCTGTCCCTCCCTGTCCCGCAGACATCGCTACCTTGATGCGATCTCCCAGGTCGAGAACAGTATGCATATCGACGGCAACATTCTAGCTCGCCTTGCCAGTCGCGACTCGAAATACCTGGATGAGATTCTCATGGCATGCAACAGGAGTCAGTTCAAGGACCTGACCCCTGAAACAGTGCATATGTTCTTTGAGGCAGTTCAGGACGTGCTTGGAGTTTATGTCAACCATACCCAGGCTGTCTTCAGCTGGCTTCGGAACATGCTGCACATTGAGATCTAAAATCTCAAGGGGGTTTTCACCGGGGGGAAGAAGTGTGGAGGACCAAGCTTGGAGTACATAGCCCTGGAGGTTTGAGTCAACTTGTGAGAGTGTATCTATGTCATAGTTCAGATTAAAATGTTAGTAGTAATGTTTGAAGTTTGTTTTCTAGTAGATTAGCACATATATGATATAAGATATCCTAGGGGTAAAAAAAGCATTTGACATTATATGGGGGAGTTCAGCTAGTTGGTTGTGGCAACTTAGAAAATGAAGTCCGATGCCATATTGTTCCCCACCGGCCATGATTCTTCCCGAAATTCTTTTCCCTTCCCACACCCCTCCCTAGGCCCACCTTACAGAGAGCTCTATCTCTCGCCTTTCATTCTGGGGATTGTCCTATTTTTGACTTCTGTCATCCTCTCCCTTTTAATACGTGTGCGTATTATTACGAGTCGCAAATAACCGGTTAACTCCGTTTGTGCGCCCACTACATTTATCCGGTCACCACTCCAATCGGATCATCAACAAACCCACCAAGAGAAATTTATCGCAATGGCGCCTAAGAAGAAGGGCAACAAGAGACAGGAGGAGGACTGGGAGGCCGATCTCGGCGAGTCAGCTCCCGCTGGTGCTCCCGCCGATGAGCAGCCCCAAGAAGATGCCAACGAGGAGGCTGCGCCGGTCGGTGGCCTTATGGCTGCTTTGAGAAAGAACAAGGCCAAGAAGGCTAAGAAGGGCAAGACCAATGATTTTGTCGAGGGTGAGGACGCCGAGGGTGGTGCTGATGCCCAGGGTGCCGACGCTCAGGCTGCCGACGCTTTGGCTAGCAAGCAGCCCGAGGAGGGTAACTTCGATGATGACGATGTCTTCGCTGGAAAGAAGACCAAGCCCATCAAGGAGGTGGTTAAGCCTGCGGCGGAAGAGCAGCCCGAGGGCGAGTTCCGAGTAAAGAGTAAAAAGGAGAAGGAGCGTGAGAAGAAGGAGAAGGAGAAGCAGCGCAAGAAGGAGCAGGTAGGTTTTTACGTTTTTCTTCGTGCTGAAGATTAATGCCGGGTGTCGAAATCGTTTACTAATGTGTTCTTTTTCTCGTATAAATAGGCTGCCACAAAGAAGAAGCTCACTCCTGCTCAAGAAAAGGCCGAGGCCAAGAAGACTGCCACCGCTGAGGCCAAGGAAGCTGCCGCTGCTGCCGCCGCTGCACCCGCCGTCGAGACCGGCAAGAAGAAGAAGCTTCCTCCCCACCTAGCAGCTCTTCAGAAGCAACAGGAGCTTCTTCGACAGCAACGTGAGGAGGAGGAGCGCATTGCAGCGGAAGAGCAGGCTGCCGCCGCCAAGCAGAAGCTCCTCGATGAAGAGGAAGAGAAGAAGCGTGCAGAGGCTCGTGAGCGCAAGAAGGAGAAGGAGCGCGAAAAGAAGGAGCAGCTACGCAAAGAAGGCAAGCTGCTTACCAAGGCTCAACGAGAGGCCAAGGAGCGCAATGAATTGCGCATGCAGCAGATGATTGCCGCCGGTGGCAAGGTTGCTGGCCTGGAAGATGCCGGCGAGAAGAAGCAGCGCGTTGTATATGAGAACAAGAAGAAGAGGGCTGGCAAGAAGCAGGAAGAGGACCTCGAAGCCGCCGCCGCTCGAGCCCAGGCTCAGCGCGAAGCTGAAGATCGAAAGAAGGAGGCCGAGGAGAAAGCCAAGGCTGAGGCCGCCGCTGCTGCCGTTGCTGCTGTCGCTCCTGCGGAAGAGGATGCCATCGAAGACTGGGAGCAGGCTGCCGACGAAGATGTCAAGGACAGCTGGGATGCGGAATCGGATGAGGAAGAGAAGCCCACTGAGGAGGCACCCGCCCAAAAGGAGGAGAAGGAAGGAGAATCCGACTCTGACTCCGACGAATCATCTGATGAAGATTCATCTGACGAAGAGCAATCTGCCAACCAAAGGGCCATTATGGCCAGAAAGGCCGAGGCTGCAGAGCGGAGAAAGGTCAAGCACGAGGAGGCTCTGGCGGCTCGTTCAAAGGATGATCTCCGGTCCCCTATTTGCTGCATTCTTGGTCACGTCGATACTGGTAAGACCAAGCTGCTTGACAAAATCCGACAGACCAACGTGCAAGAGGGCGAAGCTGGTGGTATTACCCAGCAGATCGGTGCCACTTACTTCCCTGTCGATGCTCTGCGCACAAAGACCCAAGTTGTCAACAAGGATGGCAAGTTCGAGTTCAAGGTCCCCGGTCTGTTGATCATCGATACCCCCGGTCACGAGTCCTTCTCCAACCTGCGATCAAGAGGTTCCTCCCTTTGCAACATTGCTATTCTTGTTGTTGATATCATGCACGGTCTCGAGCCCCAGACCCTCGAGTCTATGCGCTTGCTGCGTGACCGCAAGACTCCTTTCATTGTCGCATTGAACAAGATCGATCGTCTCTACGGCTGGAAGAAGATTGACAACAATGGCTTCGAAGATAGTTTGAATATGCAGAATAAGGGTGTTCAGAACGAGTTCCGCACTCGTCTTGAGGCCACCAAGCTTGCTTTCGCCGAGCAGGGTTTCAACTCCGAGCTGTTCTTCGAGAACAAGTCTCTGTCTCGCAACGTCTCTCTCGTTCCCACCTCCGCCCACACCGGAGAGGGTGTTCCTGACATGCTGAAGCTCCTGACCAGCCTGAGTCAAGAGCGTATGACCAACTCGCTTATGTACTTGTCCGAGGTCGAGTGTACTGTTCTGGAGGTCAAGGTCATTGAGGGTCTCGGTACCACAATTGACGTTATTCTGTCCAACGGTATCCTGCGCGAGGGTGATCGCGTCGTGATGTGCGGTCTCAATGGTCCTATTACAACCAATATCCGTGCTCTTCTGACACCAGCACCGCTCAAGGAGCTACGTCTGAAGTCCCAGTACGTTCACAACAAGGAGGTCAAGGCTGCCCTTGGTGTGAAGATTGCTGCCAACGACTTGGAGCACGCTATTGCCGGTTCTCGCATGCTTGTCGTCGGCCCTGACGATGATGAGGAGGATCTTGAGGAGGAGGTCATGACTGATCTGGAGAATCTGCTGAGCCGTGTCTCAACTGATCAGCGTGGTGTCACTGTCCAGGCCTCCACCCTGGGCTCGCTTGAGGCTCTCCTGGAGTTCCTCAAGGTCTCCAAGATTCCTGTTGCCAATATCTCCATCGGTCCCGTCTACAAGCGTGATGTCATGATGGCCGGTACCATGCTTGAGAAGAATAAGGAATATGCTGTCATGCTTTGCTTCGATGTCAAGGTCGATAAGGATGCAATGGCCTATGCCAACGAAATTGGTGTCAAGATTTTCACCGCCGACATCATTTACCACTTGTTCGATAACTTCACTGAGCACATGGCTCAGATCACAGAGCAGCGTAAGGAGGAGGCTAAGCTTCTTGCTATCTTCCCCTGTGTCATCAAGCCCATTGCTGTCTTCAACAAGACCGACCCCATTGTCATCGGTGTTGATGTCATTGAAGGAAGTCTGCGTCTCCACACTCCTCTGGCTGCGGTCAGGACCAACGCTGCTGGTGTAAGGGAGATTGTCGATATTGGTAGAGTGTAAGTTTTGGTCACCTTCATCTTTTTTTTTTCGTCTGATTTCTAACGCAACCGTTTCCACAGCACATCCATCGAGCGCGATCACAAGGCCGTTCCAGTCTGCAAGAGAGGCCAGCCCTCCGTTGCTGTTAAGGTCGAGGGTCCCAACCAGCCCATGTACGGTCGTCACCTCGAAGAGAAGGACCAGCTTATCTCGCACATCTCACGTGCCAGTATCGACACCCTCAAGGAGTTCTACCGGTCCGAGGTCTCTATGGATGAATGGGCTCTGGTCAAGAAGCTCAAGCCCATCTTCGACATTCCTTGAATTCGGTCTTAGGGCTTCCTTCCGGTGTACGATGTCTTCATATCAAGAATCGTCAGCACCGGACCCATTCCAGCCTTGCGGTACCTATCCTCGAGCGAACTTAATGATCAAATGCCAGTAAGTGGCGAGCTTTGTTCTCCGTCGGCCCTCATGGCCTTCGGTTCCATCATAGCCAGTTTGGAGGAAACGAATCGAAATCTACTAAGCTATGACAATTGCTATCGAAAAGCGGAAAAGTTATTCTATTTTGATTACGATTTGAACATACAATGAATGACCATGACTTGATGGATGAACAGCGAGAGAAGTCGCCTGTACATGATATAGGAAAAGCAAGGCCTGGTCGATACCAGAGCTTTTATTTCTGTTATAGTGAATTAAATTTATACTATTCAAGTATTTGCATTACAGAATAGACACTCGACTACATGGTTGATCTTAGTCTGTCTTCAACACACGGAAGCTATTTGACCAGTTTTGAAACTGCAAAGATCAATCTTTTTAGGGCAAAGACCAAATCAAACGATTACTTCAGAATATCCGAATAGACCAGAGACGATCTACCCTTCAATATCCCATTCAGCATTATGTAGTATGTACAATCCTGTTCTCAACCCACCAAACCACCTTCATCCCTATACACAGCCATCAAGCACTCACCAAATAAGCACTATTTTCGCATCAAGATTTCCCCAACTCAATAATCATCCCCATCCCACTTCTCAACCTTCCCCCCATGTCTCTCCCAATCCAACCAACTACCCATATAAACCCCAATATTAGCAGGGTCATACCCAGCCTGCACAGCCATCTGCGCTGCCGCCTTAGCCCGCACACCAGCCTTGCAATAGAAGACCATCTGCGCAGGCTCGCCCTCACCCTCCGCAGGATCAGGCTTAGCGAACCCGAACCGGGTCTCGAACTCGTCTGGCGTGAGGTACAATGCATCTCCCTGCGATGCAATCGGGATACAGACTGCAGAGGGGATTACACCCGTGCCTTTCAGTTCGGCGGGCTCGCGCACGTCGATCAGGATTATGGGCTTGTGGGTTGGGGAATCGGGTGTTGAGGTTGGGAGGGCGGCGTTGATCTAGATTTGGTTTTTGTTAGTTTGTAACCATGGTGGATTGTATGGCTGTTTTCATTGGGATATGGTATTCGGTTCAAATAGAGAAAGTGTAATGGAGGATAGAAGAGGAAGCATGACTGAAGACTGAACGGGTCTGGGGAGTACAAACATCTTCGAAGCCCCATTCCCGGAGCTTGACCGGGCCAGCATCATCGCTATTCCACCGCGTCTGCACCTGGCGCGGACTCTTGATGTTTGAGTTTGACTTGCTTTGGAGGGCGCATGATGGTGCCAGGCGGCTGCACAGGACACGGTTCTGAGGAGAAGTAACCAGTCCTCTTGTCGGTGCGGAAATAACTCGGTGCAAGGCCGCGGCTGGTGATACCGCGCTGCGTGTCGGGGTTCTGACTGCGGCGGAGGACAACACGATAGCAGATCGCGGGATCTTTGATGATAATGTCGAGGCCATTGTTTCAATTCTGGATTTTGATTGTCCGCGGAGGTGAGTCGGGAGTTATTATATCTCCGGACGTAACCTCGGGATGAGGGACTGTGATGTCAGTATCTGCCGCATGTAACCGCTTACTGGTTTAGGGTTTTTGCTCATATATGTCTGGCTTTTGGGGTACTGTACTAGCTTTGTTGGGCAATACTGGGACTTTTGAGTGGTAGGAATTACCCAATTGGGTAGATTATAGCTAGGAACTATTGTTTGAGAGTTACGATATGTTTTGTTTGACTTTCTTGTAGATCTTGTAGATATAGCATAGAAATATAGTGGAGTGTATATCAAGTAAATGAGACCTTGTGATTGAGAAGTTCACTGGAATCATACATAGAAAAACAAGCTAGGTCATCTCTAGTAGGCTAAGAAAAGCTATATTAAACCATATGACCCTACCAAATATAGTTCTTGTGATTGTGTAGAAATTGTTCATCCAAAACCAAAAGAAAAGACAAAGTAAAGAGCCAAATAACAAAAAGCTTTAGTCCGTATCTCGAGGCGCGTGAGAAAATACATGTGTAGTTACTTCAAGCATATAAAGAGTTATATAACATGCCATAAATATTCAAGCAGAAAAGGAGAATTAATATTGTTCTAATATGCACGGCTCTAGGAGTAGTCACTTTGGAGAAAAGAAACAAGAAACCCCCTGCGACCCCTCACGGGCAATAGGTAATCATAATCGTAATGGGGGTTTCTTGGCAAAAGGGTATGGAAGGTTTCTCAAGGAGAAACATATGCTAAAGACTTTTCCCGTATTGAGCGTTCATCATGCATCAAAATCGAATTAGAGGGAAAAAAGTACCAGTGGACCACCCCATCTCCAGGACAGGAAGGCATCATGGCAAGGTAACCAAGCCCTCTGTCCAGAAAATGGGGCTGGGTTCCAGCTTTGCTTTTGTGTTTTGTACAGAAAGGGAAAAATTAAGCGCGGGGGCGGAAAGTAAGAAGACAGTCATCCTGATATATATTAGTGAATTGATCTTAACAGAGAATAAGCTTGAACATACCTGAGGGAAGATAGTGGCAAACACCTTAATCTCCTCCGACTCGGGGGTGGGGGTGTGCTCCCAGTCCATCACCATACTAGCCTTTCCAATCATGGACATCAGAGAAAGCTGAGCATAGGTCTGACCCAGGCAGTAGTGGGGACCTGTGCCGAAGACCAGCCAGTTCTTGGTCTGCTGCTCAGCGGTACCGGTGATCCAGCGGTCCGGATCGAATGAGTCGGCGTTGGGGTAAGCCTCCTCGTCGTGGCAAGCGGGCCACACGGAGGGAATGATCATCGAGCCCTTGGAGACGGTGACGGTCTCGCTGATAGGGAAGTCCTTCTTGACCAGGTAGGGAACCATGATGACAGGGGGGCGGTAGCGCAGGGTCTCCTTAACGACGGCGCGGGTGTAGGGCATGTTGTCGAGCATATCCATTGTGGCAGGGAGAGTGCGATCGCCATTGCGGATGTTGAGGTTCTCCTCACGGACCTTGTCCAGGATTTCGGGGCGGTCGGCCATCAGCTGGAACAACCAGGTGGAGGCAGCACTGGTTGCATCCTGGGAGGCGAACAGGAAGGTGAAGATAGTCTGGGCAATTTCGAAGTCGGAGAATTCACGAAGAACCTGGCTAGGCTTCTCTGAAGAATCGACCTGGATTCCCTTCTCAATCTTCTCGCGGTACGCGGCGGAATCAAGCTGGGCCTTAACCCAGGCGTCCATGATACAGGAGATCTCGCCACCTGCAGCCATGCGGGCCTTGGACTTGGCAGCACACTTGGTGAACTCCACAAGCACCATATCGGCGGCCTTCTTGCCGTACCAGGTCTTAGTGTAGGGAAGGATGATAGGGAAGTTAACCAACTCAAGGGCGGCAGTGATCAGATAGTAGTCATCGGCAATTTTCTGGACACCCTCATCAGTGATGTAGTAACCGACAAAGGTACGGCAAGACAGAGCACACATAAGCTCGCGGAACTCGGACATCCAGGGAGTCGGGGTGAAGTTGGTGGCGGCGGACTTCTTGAGGAAGTGCTGGTTGTAGGAGTTGAAGACCTCCTCAGCGCGGGGGAGGTACATGGCCAGAGCCTGGCGAGTGAACAATCCGTTCAGACCCTTGCGGTAATCCACATGGGCCTTGCCATCCAAGAAGACCCAGTTGGTCTTGCCGAGAAGCTTGTGCGCGGCATCAACGACACAGGGCTTGACATAGCCAGGCGAGTTGAAAATCTTCCGGGACATATCACGAGTCGACGCAATGACGACGAACCTTTGTAGAATAGTGTTAGAGAACAGACACAAAGGAAATTAGTACATCTTGGACTTCTCACTTGTGGAAGACGGAAACACAGCTAAGGTCTCCGCTGTCCCATTTGGCCTTGTATTCGGTGAATTTGGGGTTGACTGATTGGAGGAATGGGCCCATGAAGGGAATCTTGTACATAGGGCCAACAATGGCGCCCTTGAGGTAGTGGTACTTGACTGCAAATAGGGGGTCTGAATTAGTTTCTAGACGCGATTTCGAAGACTACACATGTCGCATTCGCACTCACACTGATCATAGAGGACGGCGACGACCAAAAAAGTCAACAGGCCCTTCCAGATAGTAAAGCCATCCAATATGGTAGCAACGAGACCGGCCGGCGCGAAAAGTTGGGGCGAGACCGTCGCATCCGCCGATGGCGAGACGAAGCTCCCGGTGAGGTTGGCCATGTTGACCATGTTAGGGAGTTCACAAGGTCAAAGTTCAAAGGAATTGAAGAGAAAGTGAAATGCTAATGAGAAGGGAGGACCGAACCCTGAACAAAAAGGGAAAAAAGCGAGTGGAGAGAGGGGAGAAAGAATTGACTGGGGCTCAGGGGTGGGAACGCCAATTACACGGAGGCCCCGGGATGCCCAGCATTAGTACATCTCAATGCATAAATGATTTGTATTTTAAATTAATATGCGTAATTAGTATTCAATTGATTCTGTTAGGTCGGTTTCTTATTGATTATAGATTTATTTTTGTACATTTGTATTATTTTGTGTCATTCTTTGGACAATCTCTGCTTTAGTCCATAGTTCGGGGGTTCTCAGTCCTAATCTCCGAGCCGGGCTTAATATTGGTGATCGTACAGAGGAATTGAGAATTCTCAAAAACAACGAAATCACGCTGGAAAGCCTTAGTATATGTATACATATACAACATAGTATACATACAGAGCAGGACAACTATGTATATGTATCCTAAAAAAAAAGGAAGTGAGCGCGAAGCCATATCGCAATTACTCAGCACGACGTGATCCCGGCTAAAGAAATCCCGAGAGATTAATCGTCACTGATTGGTCGAACGTGAAGTAAGGGTTCCTATCTGCACGTGCTCGTGCTTGTTACTACAACGTACATGTCGTACTATGTACATAACTATGTAGTTAAATAGTTACACATTCCATACTACATGTAGGCATAGGAATCAATGGGTATTCGTAGCATGGCATCTATGTAAGGGGCTTCAGCGACCGCCAAAACCAAACCATCCACGACGGCCTTTCGTTTCTTCTTCCACGGGACCTTGGGGTTGAGCTTGTCCCTGAGCTGGAGCCTCCTGTTGCTGACCACCTTCGCGCGGGTAATCAATGTAGTTCCATGCCACATCAAGGAACAAGGGCTTGACTGGAATGGGCTGCATTTGAGGTGGGTAGGGCACCAAATTATTGAGGTCCAGTCCGGATCCTGCGAACTGTTGCAGTCGTTCCACCACTGGCCGCTGGCTCGACTGTGACGCCTCTTCAGCAGTCACCTTCTCCAGAGTAACAAGTCCACGATACCGAGCAACCAATTCTCGCAAAGTTGACTCCAAGGTACTTGCTTGCACTCGGGAGACGTCGAGCTTTGGGACACCTTCAGCATCTGTTGCTGACTGGGGAGAAGCGGATGCGACGAGGTTCAGGGCTTGGGAAAATAGCGCAAGAGCCTCCTTCGACTTCGAAAGCACTCCATGGGATCTTCCTAGAGCAAGACATCTAAATAAAGAAAAAAAGTGATTAGCTGCGAGAATCAACGACAATAGTGGTGAGAACCATACCTGAGAGCACGGAAGTAGTGCCGCTTTGCCTCTAGATCCTGCACAAAGGCTGAATCGGCCGCAACACCCGGAAGCTCGAGAATAAATTCCAAGCTCTGGAGTGTCGAATCATACAGGACAACACGCTCACGTAGCTTGTTCAACTTCTTGCCATTGCCTGTACTGTGGTTCGCAGTTTCCTTTCCATTCGTTGTGGGTTGCTGTTCCTCAAATGACGAACCGTCCCTTTCTCCACACAACACCCGGTTACGGCCGACTCGCCAGCCAACCAAGGTGTAATTAACTGCAGTTCGAGTGATTTGCAGTGCCTGCATTCTTTTATCGCTGGGATCAACACCCTCACTAGCGAGGTCATCAATGGCAGATTTGGTAGCATCGACAGCATCCTGACTGGCAATAATCACGTTGTCATATGCAGCTGCTTTCTCCTTAGCAGAGGCGGACTTTCCTGCGTCTGCCAGCCAAGTAGTGAGGCGAGCCTCCGCGGCTGAAGCAGCAGCTAGCGATTGAGAAATTGAGGCGTCGTCCAGTGGGACAGTTCGCGATCTCCAAGTGACAGATTGGGGCAATTCCTGCACCTCTCCCTCTGCGGTTCGTCGAGTACCTGCTGCTTCTTCAGCGAGACAAGAGGGGTCGATCTTCTCAACCTCGGCGCGAATCTCCGAATCCAACGGGAAGAATTCAATGGCCAGCGATGAAGTAGGTTTGGAGCGGGGGAGCTTCATCTGATAAGCCGCGTATCGGAGACTTGGATCAACAGTCCCCGAGAGCAAGTCCCGAAAAGCGTCTCTCTTGACCCTTTGACCCAAAGCTGTGTAAATCACTCTTGCGATTGAGTAGTCCTGGAGACACTGTTCCCATTTCCGCTTTTCAAGCCACAGAGTGCCGGAAATCATTGCCAAATAAGCCCGAGTCTCCAGGATATCCATATCACTTGCCCCAGAAAGCGATTGTTCGTGAAGCAGCGAAACTAGATGCTGCGCATACCCGGTGGCCTTGTTCAGTCGAGAAATAATATGACGCCGAGCAGCACCAGAGATGCCCTTTGTTGAAGTTTCTGCGGAATGTGTAGACTTCATGTGCATTGCTTGCGCCCAAGCTCGTTCGGAACTAAGAAGCAGAAGATGTACATATCTGGAGTAGGTTAGAAACTAGTCAAAGTAGTAATCGGGAATAGAAATATGGGTAAGCAACATACGACACATTGCTTTCAACATTTTCAGCAGTCACAGCTGGTTTGGCAGTATACTTGCGGCCTTTGACAGTGGCCTGACCAAGCTTCTTGCGGAGTTTCTGCAGTTTTCTGGTAGTGTGCGCCCGGTAGGCATTGTAGTCTCCCACAAGGAGAACCTCCTCTCGCTCTTTGAAGATAAAGTCAGTTACCTCCATGATATTTTTCTGTCTTGTTCCTTTATTTGGGGTCCTTGTGATGAGAATGGGAGGGACACGGTTGAAGTGGTGGGCTCAGTAAAGGCGGTGAAACCCCGGCAATTTCATGCACCTCCGAATCTTTTGCGTTGTTTTCTCCAAGCTTATGGGACCTCGGACTTACCATTGCCTTTTTGTTCAAATCAAGGTGCTTGGACCTTGATTGGCAATTTATGTCCGGGACCTGTGTGTGCACAACGTTGTGTTCCACCAGTCGACGAGTCCGGTTTTCCTTCCTTGGTACGAATGGCACCACCATGGACAACTTGCTCAATTGCTTGTCATACTCAAAGCCAGAACAGTTTTCTGACACAAGAATTATTTAGACAGAGCTTTTGAATCCAATACAATACAGACCACGAAATCATAACGGCATCTTGCGGCTTGAAACTACGATTGAGGGTGATGCTCGAACGAGCAACAGGCTCCCTCGAGAACGCGGGACGGCGTTTCCTTCAAGATTCCAATGGCGTGATCCGAAACAGAAGCTGCCTGTCTGGTCATTTCTGGAAGTACAATGGCGCTAGAGCGGATGCTCCTCAGTGGTTTATCGCGCTTTTGCAGGCGTCAGGCCAACAATCGTCCCCCGTTCTTACCACTCAACACGAAAGCAGAGAGTCAAGCGATAGGATAGGGCCATGGCTCGAATTTTTATATCCTCGGCAGGCTCAAACCCTGGTAGCTTCGCGTCTGCCTCGCTCCCAAAACAGGACTGGATTTCGGAGGAGACCAAACTTGGGCTTTTCAAGATCTTATGTTTCCATTTCAAATCTTCAAAAAGCTACCCCAAAGACTTCATCCACCCACAAATATGCATCCAAGCGGGCCCAAGGGTCTCAAGATCCAGAGTCTTTCGATAAGGACGGGAAAGCGAGCGCAGCTCTCCAGGCTTTCCTTCAGAAGAATGGCAGCGAATTTGATAAAGCTTGGGTGATGTACGTCGCAGCTGGATACCCGTCGAAACTCAAGTCTGCACTCTGTGCTTATATGAGTAAATCATCCGAAGAAGTGGAACGAAAAATAGCATATACACTCTTCAGCGAAATTTCGCCCGAAGATCGCACCGAGTCAGACTTCAAGAACATTATAAGATCACGACTTCTTACCTTGCCCGCTCGAAAACCCTCCCATTTGGACCATATCTGCCAGAAAGCCATTTCCACGCCATTTGCTCAAAATACCATCTCGCTGTGCCTGATGCACATGGTGCAAAACAGACAGTGGGCCAAAATTACCTCAGTCTGGAGCTCCCTATTAGAGACCCCTGAAAACGAGCGACCGCCTTTGGACTCTTTGCTGGATCGACTTGATCACCTTCACTTTCCTGGGTATTCTCTTGCCAGGCATCTCCTTGATTTAAAGAAGTACTTGCCAAGCGATTACAACAATCTTACTCCTGCGGACAAAGACCTTACTCGCCGTCTATTTGAAAAATTTGTCAATTCTGATATAGTCAAACTCGCACCGATACCAACTGTGCTTTCATTGTTGCGCGACTACCGTCATTTTGGTTTTTTGACCAGCCGTCACTATTTTCATTTGGTCAATGTCTTCCTACCATCAAAGCAGAGGTCGGAATTTGTCAAGTGCATTCTTGTTTATCGCCAATTGCGTTCAGCCTTTCCGGATACACGGCCATCTTCAGAAACGATTCGTTCTATCATTCAACGCTTGTTGGAATTCGAGATGACCGACAGCTTGCCATACTTCTTGGACGAAGAGGCGCACGTTAATGAATTTAAAATACCAAGCTTCCAGTCATATAATGACGTCATGGGTGCCTTTTCTAAATCCGGGGATGTACAAACTGTCAAACACCTGTTCGATAGGTTTCTGGCAGATCACGGCAACCCAAAGACCACGAGGTCGGTTACCCCCCTTCTTGCTGTTCATGCGCGGCTAGGTGATGTGCGCGAGACACGGCGACAATTCGATCGAATTCCTACAGAATTTGGTCTCCCGCTGAACACAATTTGCTGGAATATACTGCTTCTGGCGCACACTACTGCCAAGGATTTACCGGGTGCTATTTCTACCTTCTCAGAAATGCGAGAAAATCTTGTACCTCCGAACTCGTACACATTTGGCACACTGATGGGGCTTTTGGCCCAGCGAGGCGACGTCGAAGCTATCCGTCAATTGCTCAAAGAGGCGCAGACGAGTCGAGTACAAATCACGAGGCCAATGCTTGATACGGCTGTCCAGGTGTACTGCAGGAATGGGCAATTGGGTCATGCAGAAGCGCTTGTCGCAAGCAGCTGGGATGTAGCGGTGGGAGGGTCTCCCTTGCGAATGTGGAATTTTCTTCTAATGCGGTATGCATTCAGGGTATCAAAGTTTTCCTTCCGACGTGTCCTTGACCGCATGGGACGGCTAGGCTTGAAACCGGACGACATGACTTACGCGGCTATTATGCTTGCTTATGTCTATGCCAAGCAGGCGGATCGTGCGCAGACTACTCTCAGGAAAATGCATGAAGCTGGTTTGAAACCCACCGAGTACCATTACTCCATTCTCTTGCTTGGATATGTGAAGCAACGGAACCGCGATATGGTGCACGTCATCTCCCGGGAAATGCAAACACGCTTCGGTCGAGTTGGGATGGACGCAAGCTTGTTGAACCTGAGAATGCAGATTGCAAGAGACGTGGAAAACGCAAGAGACCTTCGAACTCCCGTTGAAGATATCGTCTTGGAGAACGCAGAAAAGACACTTTCTGAATCAATCGCACAATTCAATGCCAATCCGTCGCCAGCCAACAGTCGATTATCTAGACCGTTAGGGGGCTTTGCTGTTGAGTCTTTCACTGCCACGCACTATCAACGGCTGGTCGACGCATACGGCATCCAAGCTGGCGCCGAAAAGGCACTCCAAACCTTCAACAATTACATGCAATCCAGACGAACTACGGGATCATGGGACGGCGATGAATTGAAATCCTTACCGATTGACTTCATCAAAGCCGTGATGAATGCGTATTCAGAAACCCGGAACTACGGGAAAGTGGAAGAGTGCTGGAACAGTATTATGGCAAGTGTAAGCAGGACAGCTGGTACCTGTGACCTTGACAAAGTCTTGTCTGCACGGTCGCCGATGTCAACCCTGCCAGCGCCAGCCGAGTCCCCTCTCCCGTCGATTCTTTCAATATCCACCACTCAAGGAGAAAAGCACAAAATCATTCCTGCCCAACGCTTCATCCTGGACTATCCACTTTCGCTTTACCTTGAATCCTTGGCTCGCCGAGACATGTTCGAGAGAATACATCAAGTTGTGGCCGAAGTTCAGGCAGCAGGCTTTGCATTGACTGGTTTCAACTGGTCAACTTACGTCAGAGTGCTTGCGACATCTAATAATTATCCCGACAATGTGGAGGCATTTCGACTGTTCGAAGAGAAGTTCATTACTCATTTCCCTGGGTGGTCGTGGTTTCTCAAGGGATATGGCGTGAGACCACTCAATGCCCCCGTGACAATCCTCCATCTCGAAGGTCGCTCGGGTATCACCAAACCTCGCAGGATGATGGGAAAATTAGCCCGAAAGCATTGGCGCAAAATCGAGCCCGATTACATGCACCCTCATTATCCCACCATGGTGCAACTAGCCAGCACACTGCAACGGCTCCGGCAAACAAGTATTATGGAAGGGAATGAGCATCTGGCGAATCTCTACAAAATTGCTCCACGGACTGTCGACGCCCTTGCCGCGATGCCATACGTGCGTGATAAACATCAGGGTACAATCCTTCGCGGCAAGGCAGCAAAAAGCGATATCCTCCCACGTCCGACCCACCTGTTCTCCTCACGCTCTGGTGCTCTTGGCCCCACGTCCGATATGCATGAACGCAGCTTTAATGACGCGACTGAGGAGCCTCTCTTGTCGAGCGAAGACCAATTCCCCGAGCCTTCCGTCGACAAGTCGAATCTTACTGGCTTACTCCACAGTAAAAAGCGTGAACACTTGGACTCTTTGGCGAGCATCCTTCCTCACGAGGACCGAGTTGACCTAGAAACCACACTTCACGAGCAACTCAATGTGACAACAGGGTGGAAGGAACGAATCGGGAATTACAAAGAGGGTATCGCTCGGGCGCACGAAACCGGGAATATCCCGCGCGCCGATGCCCACAATCGACGTTTGAACAAGTTGCAAGATCCCGACATCAAGAGGCCGACCCCCGAGCGGCAACTGTTCGACAAGGATAATCGCAAGTGGAAGCAGGATACTCCAGCCCACCTCCTCTTTAAGCCCATTGCTGGGCTCCATGTGAAACCCGGGCGGACTCCCTCAAAACGAGCGTCCGAGCGAAAAAAATACAAGGGACCCTGGACGCCCAGGAAAGAACCGGGCGACGACCATTGAGCAGCGTGCTCCATGTATAGTGATTGTAATTTTAGCTTGTATATATATATCCGGAGTTTTATCATTTGATTTTGTACAATATATCAGTTTTTCCGAGGTTCATTAGATACCACTGGTTATATATACCAAAGTCACCTATTCTGTTTAGCCTGTTTTTTTGATATTTCTAGCTATAAAACCGACAAGTGGAAAAAAGACATACAAAAAGACGTCGTAGTCCTTCAATGCTATTTTAGATATAACATTTAAGGACAGAGGCCGTGTAAGCGGCCGACTGTTCTTACATTTTTGAATCTCCATCGTGTTTCGTCTTTGCTATGGTACCTACAACAGGTGCGGGCAAAGTGCAGAGAATGATGTATTAGGCCGAACACCCACGGCAATTAGTAGATCGGTGATGCAGGCTTGTATACATGCACGTCGCAAATATTGTTGGACAGCTAGAAGTCGGAGGTAGTCGGTAGGTATTGGGATAGACTAGCCCAGGAAGCTACAAAATTTTTATTGGGATGGGTATTCAGGTGGATTGAAAATATTTTCATTATGGATAGATATTGGATAAAATGAACAGCCCACACACAGTGCCCCATACCATCAACCAGAATGGAAGAGGACCTTTCAGACCTCCTCGACACCCACCAGGACCGACCGACCGAAGTCAGACATCGAGACCAGGTCAAGATCATCACCACTCCCTAGACCGAAACGCAGACACTGCGAACAGCACGCGTGACAGTCGAAGCGGGAGTAAAAAGGTTTCACTTTAGGGCATCGAGGACATGTAGTCATCAGCAAGGGTGGAGATTCTGTGGCTCTTTTAAAGAGTTTAGAAAGGGGACGTCTACTCTAAAGTGATTCTTTGAACTGTAGAGGAAAAAAAGTCAGTGGAAAAGTTCAAAATGCCAAAGTCCAGTGTGGAAAACCCAGAAGGTTTCCAACTGTTGGGGGAGGAGAACGCACGTAGAGTCGCTTGAAGAAGAAGAAAAGGATCGGGGGAATGCCGGCTTATATAGCCTTCTGAAAAATTATTCGCTGACTCAGCACGGCACGTGGTATCCTTGGGACGCGCCTTCCTCGCGTGCAACTTCACGCGTTCCACTTTAGCAAATCGGGAAATCCCAATCGGCCCCCTCGACTCCCTCCTTCCCACCACACTATATTGCATCACACATCATGGACGGTTTACAACTACGTGATGAGGCCGCGCAGGATCGCGTGCGTGCCGCAACTGAATTTCTTGACCCCAGTAAGTCCATTGAGTTATCTGTTGTGGTCCCTTGAGTTAACAAAGTTCTTTTCAGATGATGCACGGGCACGCAGGTTCGTCGACCTCGAAGATCATTCTGCAATAAGATACATCTAACAGACTGGAACAGTTATCGAGCGGACATTGTGGTTATGCTGAACAAGGGTGCGCGACGATTGACAGTGCGTGGATTCGTGAAATACCCTGCCAGGAGGTGGTGCTGATAATTTTGGACAGGTCAGCATCGATGAGATCAGAGCACACAACCGGGAGCTTGCCGATGGGTAAATCACACCTTTATAATAAGTGGAATTGGGTTCACCGACTAATGGCTGTAGGCTGCTCTCTTCGCCGTTCGATTATTCACAAGCCTTTGACGCAGCCTTGAAGGCGGTCGTCAAAACTTTACCCGGTCGACCACTTAGAGAAACTTCGGATGAAGCGGTGTGTATTCGGTTTCGGATGATTCTTAGGAGACATTGATGTCTAACGATATTGATAGAACTACTACTGCGCTTATGTTGGCGCATTTGGAGAATTCTCTTGCAATCCGCGCACATTGGGCTCGGAACAATTGAACCACATGGTCTCGCTCGAGGGCATTGTGACAAAATGCTCTCTGGTACGACCCAAGATCATCCAGAGTGTTCACTACGTCGAAAGGAAAGATCGGTTTGTTGCCAGAAAATATCGTGATCAAACTATGGGTGCCAGTGGTGCAACCAGTTTGAACGTTTACCCCCAAGAGGACGATGAAAAGAACCCTGTGAGTTAAGCCCGGATATTCTTGCTCAATTTTTTAAGACTAATGACAGAACATCTAGCTTATCACCGAGTACGGTTACTCAACATATCTCGACCACCAGTCGATTTCAATCCAAGAAATGCCCGAACGTGCCCCCGCAGGACAATTGCCCCGAAGTGTCGATGTCATTTTGGATGATGACCTCGTCGACACTGCCAAGCCTGGCGATAGAATCCAGTTGGTGGGTATCTACCGTACCCTTGGTAACGGAGGCAGTGGCTCGTCCACGTTCCGCACCGTCGTCATGGCGAACAACATTATTCAGTTGTCCTCGAAGAGCGGTGGAGGTATTGCGGAAGCTGTACTTACGGATACCGACATTCGAAACATCAATCAGATTGCCAAGAAGAAGAACGTGTTTGACTTGTTGTCCAAGTCTCTGGCTCCCAGTATCCACGGACATGACTACATCAAGAAAGCCATCCTCCTGATGCTTCTTGGTGGAATGGAGAAGAACTTAGATAACGGAACCCATCTTCGTGGTGATATCAACATCCTTATGGTCGGTGATCCCTCGACTGCGAAGTCCCAGCTTCTTCGTTTCGTGTTGAATACCGCGCCACTGGCAATCGCTACTACCGGTCGAGGTTCGTCCGGTGTCGGTTTGACTGCTGCCGTTACATCCGACAAAGAAACCGGCGAACGTCGACTGGAGGCTGGTGCTATGGTCCTCGGTGACCGTGGTGTGGTGTGTATTGATGAGTTCGACAAGATGAGTGATGTCGATCGTGTTGCCATTCACGAAGTCATGGAACAGCAGACCGTCACAATCGCAAAAGCCGGTATCCACACAAGCTTGAACGCTCGCTGCAGTGTCCTTGCAGCAGCCAATCCGATTTATGGCCAATATGATCCCCACAAGGACCCGCATAAGAACATTGCTCTCCCCGACTCCTTGCTTTCTCGTTTCGATTTGCTATTTGTCGTGACCGATGATATTGAGGATGCCCATGACCGAATAATCTCAGAGCACGTTCTACGCATGCACCGTTACCGCCAGCCTGGCACTGAGGAAGGTGCTCCCGTTCGGGAACAGCTCTATCAAACATTGGGCGTGGGTGGTGAAGACCGTCAAGATGCCAACGCGCCAAGTGAGGTTTTCGAGAAGTTCAATGTCATGCTGCACGGTGGTATGGTTGACGCTGCCAATGCTGGCCGTCGCCGTGGTAAGAATGTGGAAATTATTAGTATTCCCTTCATCAAGAAGTATATCCAATACGCCAAGAAGCGAATCATGCCCGTCTTGACCAAGGGTGCTGCCGATCACGTCATCGCCACATACTCTGCTCTGCGAAACGATGAACTCACCGGCAACAAGCGTCGCACATCACCCATCACCCCTCGTACCCTGGAGACGCTGATTCGTTTGTCCACTGCACACGCCAAGGCCCGTCTGTCTAATCGCGTAGACGAGAAGGATGCCAAACACGCCGAGGCCATCCTGCGCTTCGCCATGTTCAAGGAAGTGGTCGAGGACGAGCGCCGGAAGAGACGCAAGGTGACCACCTTCGACGATTCCTCCTCCGACGACAGCGATGCCGAACTCGACGACAACTCCGATGATGACACCACCGCCCGCGGCACAGCCACCGCTACACCGGGTAGACGCACTGGAACAGCACGCACCCGCGGTACCGCAACCACAACGCAATCTAGTGTTCCAGTCCCAGACGAGGACGAAGACCCAGACAGCCTATACACAGCCAGCCCTCGCGCTCAACGCTTGCGTTCGAGCCAGACAGCTCGCACCCAAACCCAAACCGACTCTCAGATGTCAATGGCATCATCGCAGCCAGCCTCGCAGCTCATCGAGTCTCAGACAGACTCCCAGTCCACATCCACAGATGTCCCGATCACCCCTGCCCGCATGACAGTCTTCCGGCAGACTCTCGGCCCGCTCATGGGCAAGACTGTGTTCAAAGATAGCGATACAAGCAAGATTGATGACTTGATCAATGCTGTTAATACTGTTATCCGGGAATCGCCCAAACTTGGCGCTTCGCACGTCTTCTCCCGCCCAGAGGCTATCCAGGCCTTGCAAGCCATGACCGACGACAATATCCTGATGTACCTCGAGGACGAGGAGGATGTGTACCGGGTCTAATCTATCTGGGTTATGTGGCACTGTCTATAATTTTCTCCTCCTTGTGGAACATAGCTAGAGGGGAGAATGCTGGATCTGCCTATGTCCAGTTTTACGAGCATGCTTTCTTGTCATTGCATTGGGATTGATATCATTGCATGTTTTTTTTTTGTGTTTGGCGTATGGAGTGGGTTTGTGAGGGAATATTAGTGGACTCAATACGAGAAATATGAATGAATACTCGATCCTTGACTTAAATGAAGGCCTCAATGGTAGTTCTAAGCTTAGCTCATATGCAATTATAATGCCACGCCATGTGATGTGAGCTGATTAGCCGACATTTGTTTATTTGACCCTAAATACGCAGTAAAATTGGAGTTTTCTAAAGGGACCAGATGTAACACAACAGCATACATAGGCGAGGTACTCGAGTTTATCTATAGCACTGGCGACACCGCGCTCTAAGGGATATGCATACATAGCTAATGCAAGTTTCCAAAGACAGCGTTCTGAGCAACAAGTGTCTGGCAAACATGACAAGAGAGGGAAAAAAAACAGGGTATAGAGATATGAACAGCATAAGCATGAACAACATTTCGTGCTAAGGTGCAGTGCAGTATTACAATTCCGCAACAGCATTCGGTATAGCCTCCTCTTTATCTTTCTCAATCATACCCATAGGCAGCACAGAGTCGTCAGACGAGAAGGACGGGGTCCGTACACCCTCTCTGATCTGCGCCTGCGTGAGAGGCGACAGACCCCGCCGAAGCGTCGAGCCCTTCCGTTTCCGCTGCTGTGGGCTCGCGTCCTGCCCAGAGGCTGTACTTCCGCGGCGGGGTCGGCTGGAAGTGGAAGAGCGGGAAGGGGGGCGGTCTTCGAAGGTGGTGTCGACCGGGGTGGTGCTGCGGGATGAGGTACGGGAATGGGACTCGGAGCGGGTACTACGGCGGGAGGAGGGGCCGCGCTGCTCCTGGTTGAGTTTCGCGATGGAGGGGTGGTGGCCGTGGCCTAGGCGGTGTTTGAATTCCGGCTCGATTGGGCGGTGCAGGGTTGCTGCGACGAGGCGGCGGCGCTGGGAGGCGCGCCAGCCTAGCCCGAGCCGGCCGAGCCAGCCGCCTTCTGTTTGGGCGAGGTGGTGCTCGCGCTCGCGCAGTTTGAGGCGTAGCTGGGCGCGGCGCTCGTTTTCCTTTTCCCAGAAGTCTGTGCGGTAATCGTCCCAGTTTTCGCGGAATTCTGGAGAGAAGGACTTGGGTAGCAGGAGGAGACGGATGTAGTCGCCTCCCGGGCTGAGGTCTTCTTCTACCAAGCCGGACTCGGTGTCGGTGCCGTTGTAGTACTGTTGATAGTGCTGCCGACCACCACCAGCGCGTTTATCGGAGAGGCTCTGCTCCACGAAATGGTAGTTTCCATTGGGGGAGGGTAAGAACGGGGCGGAGAAAGGGAACAGGAATGAGATGTAAGACAGTAGCTCCTGCCAGAAGGGACCGCGGATGATAATGATCTTGGTGTTCATCACGCGCAGGCCGCGATTGGAGACAGCGAGCCAGCGCCGAGGCCATCTGATTCCTCGTTCCCATTGCCCTGTACCCCAGACGAGCAGTGCGGTAACCACCCCGCCAAGCAGGGCGACTTTCTCCCCCATCTCCACCACCCAGTAGACAGAGCCACCGACCCCGCGGCCATCTTCACGTGGGCGAAGGAAAAGGGCGTATGCAAAATGGGCAAGCCAAGCGGCTAGCAGAAGTAGGAAGAACGTGTTCTGGCGGCGACGCTCACGCAGGGCCAGATACTGGGCTCGCAGCGAGGTTTCGAGTATTAAGAGGTTGAGGTAGATCTGGGGCGGGGAGGATGGCAGGTGTGCCAGCGGGTCTGGGGTCGAGGGACGCGGAGTGGAGGGATCTGAATGGTGAGCTTGAGATGATCGTGAGGAGTTCAATGGCTCTGGTGTTGATGAGGCGCGAGCATCCGATGTTGGGGCACCCTTGACCACCTGGTCCAAAGGCGAGGCCATGGTAGAAGAATCCCAAAATGAAAATAGAATATGAAAAGCAAAGCTCAGTTAAAGTCAAATCAAAACTTGGCCGATCCGGCCCAGGGCGAGTGTCATTAGTGTCATCGCATGTGAAGAGGAGGGAAAGAAAGGCGGCAAGTTGAAAGGAAGCGAAGTTGGATCGACATCATCTGCCCACTTGACTTGGCTTCTTCTGGTCTACACAAATAATTTTATTTTAACCATTGCCTATTGCCCTTAGGGGGTCTCAATCATTCTATTTCTTTCATCAGCTTTCTTCTATCGGACATTACCTCTTCTGCCCGGATTTGCGCATGTTAGACCTACCGGGGTTAAGCGGAGTGACCGATTTGTCTCCGTGCTCCCTTCTTATACGTCCATGAGCGCCACCGTTCAACTTTTGCTCGCAGAAACCATCTGTCTTGCCAACTTGCGAACCGCAGGCACAACGTCGCGACTTGCCTCTCCCTTTTCAGTTCCTCAACACCAGGCCAAATCTCCCTCAGCCGCCTTTGCCACCCTCCCTCGGAGGCAACGACTGTCTTCAATGGCGTCAGAATCACTCAACTCGTCCCATGAGGACATTCATAGGCGTCATCAACGCCCGGTTGAAAACAATACCGAGAGGATCTCGGGAAGTCCATATACGACTCAGGCTGCTGCTGGCGCGGCAGCCGCGCGCGCATTTTTCCCGTTGGGATACCGCGAAGGCTTCAGTCAATGGGTATGCTACAATCCAGGAGCCCCCATTGCCGCATGTCCGCTGATGATTTGCTTTATATAGTGGGCTCGTCTACCTGCAGCTGCTGCCGAACACAAAGTCCTTTCTTATCTGCCTTACTTGCATCACCAGCCCCCCACTCACCTCCAGACTGGAAAAACGGCGGAGCTCCCCGATGGCACTAGCCCGACCAGTCTCGAGAGTGCTGACCCTAACCAGCTGGGTGAAGTCACTACTAGCTCCCTTGATGACCCTTTTGGTCCTCGCCGATGGCGCTCCAGCATGGTAGAGCTGAGCGGGCAAGACCGCGCGCTCAATGAGTTCTCGGTAGAGAGGATCGGCGAGGAAGCAGACCAACATTTGGTCATGCTCCACGGCTACGGCGCTGGACTTGGCTTTTTCTATAAAAACTTCGAACCACTGAGTCGGTTGAAAGGCTGGCAACTCCATGCCTTAGATATGCTAGGCATGGGCCGGAGTACTCGACCCTCATTCAAAATCAAGGCAAAGGAAAGAGAAGACGCCATCAGGGAGGCCGAGGCTTGGTTTGTGGATGCCTTGGAGGAATGGCGCATCAAACGCAATATTGATCGCTTCACCTTGCTTGGACACAGTCTCGGCGGGTACATGGCGGTTGCCTACGCGCTGAAATATCCCGGTCATCTAAACAAGCTTATCCTGGCATCTCCAGTTGGCATCCCAGCGGACCCATACGCTATCACTGCAGATGTGTCCGAGCCTCCGACATCAACGTTGGCCAACGAGCTTACTCAAGACGAGCGAGATCTCACTTCGTATACTGCCATTCCGGGAACAGCACCGAAGACAGGCGACGGTAGCTTTATCACTGGGCGCCAACCACTCCCCGCTGCTTCCGCTCCACCTCCACCTCCACGACGGAATATCCCCAAGTGGTTCTCGTATTTATGGGACGCCAATATCTCCCCCTTCAGTCTGGTGCGGTGGGCTGGTCCTTTAGGGCCACGTCTCGTGTCCGGATGGACTTCTCGTCGTTTCTCCCATCTACCAGCCGAGGAAGCTAAGGCACTCCACGACTATTCGTACTCGATCTTCAGTCTTCGCGGTAGCGGCGAGTACGCGCTAGCATACATTCTTGCCCCCGGTGCTTTCGCTCGCAGTCCTCTCATCCACCGTGTCCAAGGCCTCGGAAGACAATTGATCCAAAACACAAACGCCCTCCCTCATCCAATCTCTGCTGCCACCACTTCGTCAACTCCCTCTGATACTACACCCGCATCCACCGCCGCTACTTCGTCTGACTCTTTGGCACCCGCTCGGCGCGAGAAGGGTCTCCCCGTTGTATTCATGTATGGCGACCACGACTGGATGGATGTCTCAGGTGGTCATGCAGCAGCAGCTAAATTGGAAGAAGAGAAGCGCAAAGTCCTAGAAAAGGCCACCCCAGAGGAGAAACGTACCGATGAAGGTTCCTCTAAAGTGGTTGTCGTGAATAGGGCTGGCCACCACTTGTATCTCGACGGCTGGGAGGAGTTCAACAGTATTGTGCTCACCGAGATGGAAGAGGTCAACCAGAGGGAGAGAAGTCGTCAGTAATGACCTGGATAGAGCTTCTTTCCCTCTGTCGTGAACAATTTTCTATCAAATATAGAGCTGGAGTGTGATGTTGATATTTCGTGTTGGATACCTTCGTCCCTCGTTTATTGTGGCCTTTTCTCTTTTTTTTTGCCCCTGGCGTTTATGTGAACCTCTCCCTATTTTCCGTGACTACAATTCTGTACGGTACATATTGACTAGATAGACTTGAACAGAATCAATGATAATTGCCATGAATACTCCAGTTGGAGAAATAGCTTTCATGGCACTTTTTTTAATCACTTGTGCTTCTTGCGCCTTCCAAAGAAGAAAAAGGAACACCCTTCATCCAGCTCGATCCCCAGCAGCCAGCCCCCTCGAATTCGGCCCAGAGATACTCTGTCTCCGATGCCTAGGGCTAGTGGGATAATGCGCCATCAAGCGCGCCAGCCCCACCGATGAAGCATCACGCTCTTCAGTTGACAGACCAACCCCGGGGGTATTATGCCCGCTAGTACTGGGGCTAACTCTTCCAGAGAGAACATGGCTACCAGAGGACCCAGGCCTCCTCAAAGAAAAGTACCCACCCCCGCCTCCATTAGCAAAGCTCCCGCCACTACTATTGCTCCCAAAGCTGTGGCCCACCCCATCCCCGAAACTAGAGAGATAGGAGCTCGTGAACGGTGCACCGCTCTGGAAAGCGCGCGGGAGAGCCCGCGACTGGGAATGCGAGGTCGCATCCAGCCGCGCGTACGGCTGCGGCGTCATCGGGGCCGTGAGTCGTGCCGTTGACGACAACATCGACGGGCCGTACTCCCTCGAATGAACAGCTGCGTTATCAGGCCTTGTTGACAGCGCTAGGGAGAGCCCCGTGCCCGTGCGCCGGTCAGAGGCCGTCAGCGAGGAAGTGGTGAGTGAGCGGTGGTGGTGTCTTGACCCGTCTTGTTGCTTCTCGGGGTAGATGTCCGTTGCTCCCGCCAGCGATTGGAAATTGCTTCGGCCATTGCGCCAGTCGGCGCTTTCGGGGCTGTTTAGGCTGCTTCCGGCGTGGACGCTTGTGCATAGCGGGACGAGCTGCGAGGGGAGCTCGAGACGGTTGTTTAGAGAGAGCCAGGCTCGCTCGTCTGCGTCGATGTCGATGTCTGCGTCTGCATCGACGTCGCGGGTGCTATGTGTCGAAGAGGACGAGGTCGAGCTTGTGGCCTTTTCGTGCGAAGTATGCGAGCTGCGTGTTTTGGATGCTCGGTACGAGCGCCATCCACCTACGCCTTCGAAGTCACGTCTTTCATCGCCGCTTATAGGCAGACTATAGACGGGTGTTGGAGTACATAAGTTGTGGGCCTCGATCATGCTCCGTGCATAAGAGTTCATTTTGCGGCTTTCTGGGTTGTCCAGACTGGTACCAATGGCCCAGGAAGTGAGAGGGTCATTTGTCTTTCGTGGATGTGTCGTCGTTTGGCTGGAATTCCTTCTTGATCTACCAACGGCTGGGGTAGTAGGTTCTGAAGCCGCGAATGTCAATAATGACGAGGTAGACGAGGTTGGCAATGAGAAGAAATGCATGACCAATCCATAGACTAGCTCAACACAGACTACTGATAGTCTGAGTATCAGTGCAAAGAGCGCAGCGGAGATTGTAACCCATGCTGAGAAAATGAGTGGGATGGAGATGAGGGCCAGGATAGGCAACGCGAGCAACGTTGATAGAGAGGGCCACATTGAGAAGTCAATCTATGTATATCCCTAGGAAGGGAGAAAAGGACCATAAGTCCATTATTATAAGACATTCGGTATTTCAACACAGTCACAGCACAAAAACAACAAATTGCGGAGAAAGCATGTGATGGGATGCCCCAGGCAGCACAAACGCCAATTACATCACTCCGGGAACTTTCAGCCTTGTGTATATCAAAAACTTAGAATTTAGTTCTGGAAGGTTTTGTTCTGGTTTTCATTGAATATCCCCAAAAACATGCCAGAGGACGAACCCTTCCCTTGGGAAATTGGCATTTACGATGCCCACTGCCATCCCACCGACACATTGGCCTCAGTGGCCGACATCCCGCAGATGAAAGCGACAACACTGACAATCATGGCGACGCGCGGGGAAGATCAAGATCTCGTACAACAAACAGCTGTGTCACTCTCAGCCAAGACAAGCCAATCAACAACAGACCGCGTAGTCCCCTGCTTCGGATGGCACCCGTGGTTCTCGCACCAGATCCTGGACGACACTGCACAACCAACAGCACAAAACCCAGCTGAGCACAAGTTCGCCCACTACGCCTCCGTCCTAACACCATCTCCAGCCGACGACAAGCCATTCATTGATTTACTTCCTGTTCCCAAGCCGCTCTCAGAACTAATATCTGAAACCCGGAACCGACTCCAACAGTTCCCGAATGCGCTAGTCGGCGAAGTAGGCTTGGACAGGTCATTCCGACTCCCAAGTCCATGGACTCCAACCGACGTCGAAAACAGAGATGGCCAGCTTACCCCGGGCTCACGCGAGGGCCGGCGTCTATCAAGCTACCGCGTCAAGCCGGAACACCAGCGCACCGTGCTAAAAGCGCAGCTACAGCTAGCGGGAGAAATGAACCGTGCCGTCTCGCTGCACAGCGTGCTAGCGCACGGCAGGGTCTTTGAAGTGCTTAAAGAGCTCTGGGCGGGACATGAACGGGTTGTGCTATCGCGACGGAAGAGGGACAAACAGCGCGACGCAGAAGGCGCCGTATCTGATGACGAAGATAAGACGCCGGACGGATCTCAGTCAACTAAAACATCCGACCTCAATGGGAAATCGTATCGGCCTTTCCCGCCCCGCATCTGCATGCACTCTTATACCGGTTCGGTTGAGCCGATTCGCCAGTTCTTGCATCGGTCGAATCCGTCGGATGTTTATTTCTCTTTCTCGAAACTTATCAATTTCGCCGGTTCTGCCGAGAAGAGGGTGGGCGATGTTATCAAGGCTTTGCCTGAGGACCGTATTCTTATCGAAAGTGATCTCCATGTTGCAGGTGCGCAGATGGATGAGCTGCTGGAAGATGTGGCGCGACAGGTTTGTCAGCTACGTGGGTGGGAGCTGCGGCACGGTGTCCAGGTGCTTGCGGATAATTGGCGGCGGTTTGTGTTTGGCTAGGTCTTGTGTTTCATTTTTCTATTCATGCATGGGATGAGCTGAGGTTCGATTTCTGATTTATTGCAGTTTTCTTTTGCGGTTTTCTTAAGCTGTGCGATTAGCGAATACGCATATATGGCGCGATCTGGAACACTCGCGTACGTACATCCATGGATTTTGCCTAGGTGATTCATTCGAGACAAGCATAGTCGACCGCTTGCTTATGCGGTCTCTGTCCTTGACGACCTAAGACCAAGATGGTATTAGGGATGTTATATGGAAGCACCCTCTGATATGTTTTTTTGAATGTTCTTTTTATGTCTTTTTTGATGTCTTCTTAGGTGTACACGAAGGCGGTAAAAAGCATACTTTGTGCAGACGACTTTTCTATGTATAACATTTGATACGAAAAGGCCCCAACTTATTTTTTATCCGATATCACTATTTGCAATTATATGACGTGGTATATCTCTATCATTGTATGTGATCGTTTGATCGTTTGTGACATGGTATCATAGGCTGGGCCTGTAGGTGTCTGTGGCCTGACACGGTCTCTAAGATGTATCGTGTATCTGCGTGCCCTGGCATGGCTCGTCTCGTCGTCAAAGTAGAAAAGGTATGTGGAGAGGAGGCGATGGAGAAAATGACAGCTCTATACAGTCATCAACCAGAGGTAGCGAGACATAGCTAGCTATGTATCCATCCTCCATCGTGAATAAGATCTGCCATCGGGGCATCCTGCCAGTAGATCTGCCGCCATTCATCTTCAAGCTCGGGGAGGCCTTCAACTCCCACAGGGGGAGGTAGGTCTACATCACCAAAGGCGAACAGCTGTCGCCAGTCCGGATAGTCGCGAGTTGGCTCGATGGAATCCACCTGCATGCTGGTTGAGAAAGGATCGTTCCTTTCCAGCGGGCCAACATTAAGTCGGAGAGGGGCAATCCAGTTATTAAATTGAGGATTGGGTTGTGGTGAGAGGGTCGTTTGTTGGAGAGGGGTGGATTCGGGGGTGGGCACACCGAAGGAGAGTGGTCCGGGGGTTTGCATGGTAATTGATGGAACAGGAGAGGCAACGGGCATCTTATGCGCGTGATGAGTGTCGCCGAACGGCTTAGGTCGTTCCGTTGTTGCCATCCGAAGATCTTCTTGCAGACGTTTGGAGTCCTCGAAGAGTCGCAGAATTGTGCCAGCATGAACCCAGTATTGAGCTAACTCGCGCAGCGAGTAAGAGGCAGAATCGAAGCGGCGTAAGGCATTGATGGCAAGAACTGGATTGGAGAAGCGGAGCTCAACTCGGACTTGAATCATGGCCGTGAAGAGGGTATGGACGCCAGTGTACCAAAGGAACTTCAAGCGCTCATGCATCCTGAGCTCTTCAAAGATTGAGGCTATGACTCCGGCGGCTGCACTGCAAATTTCTGCGTCGTGAGGGCCATAGTCATCGGAATAGGCTGAGGCTCTGGGATGAGGCCGATGCAACAGAATGAGGAAGTTGTTGTAGGTCAAATGGAGCATAGCGGACCAAGGATCCATATCAGATGCGCGAAGCCGAAGATTATCAGGAAGTTTCAGAGACCAAGTTGCCAGTGATCCGTCGGCTTCTTGAAGAACGGCCTTTCGCCGTTCCTCACTTGCCCGAAGTCCAAATCGATCGCGAATGAGATACGAGATCATCGTACAAAGTTCGGTAAAATGAATCACGTAGTCTGATTGTACAAGAGGACCGCAATTCTCAAAATCAGCGGGCGTCAAAGGAGACACGTCGGAATCATCCAGATTGCTAATTGAAACTTGATTAGTATTCACTGCAAGTTGGCCGTTTGGAATGACTTACATCGCTTGAGGTCGGCCATATGACAGGGAGATCAACACATCGAATTGGACCAGAATGAACCAAACTCTCCGCCACATTCGCCGATCGCGAGTCACGAAGCTACTGGAAACGGGATTACGGTGCATTCCAAGTCCCGTGGCGATACGTGCAGCGGCCCCAACCCAAAAGTGAGCATCTGCAGCAACATCATCATCTGCGCTATCCGAATGCCACGTTAAAAGAAGGGCCGCTTGAACAAGAATGTCGCGATTTCGCTCGATGCGATTGTCGAACAGATACTTGGTGCGGCGGAAGAAAATTTCTTTGAGAGCGTCTCGCTCTACTTTTGCACGAGAAACATGCGCCCCAACCAGCAAAATTGCTTGAAGGAGTAGAACTGGCGGAGGATCTGCAGGATCCCGGTTCCGGTATTGCGTCATGAATAAATCTTCGTCGATGATAGGGTACCCCGGATTGACATATGTGAAATAAGCCTGGACCAATTCATCTGCAAGAGCCGGTTCTGGAAGTGTTAGAGCATCCATAAGAAGCTGATCATGACCCGTCTTCATTTGACGTCGTGGGATTTCGTTGCTCGCAAAATGGTATACATCGTCATCTTGTTCTCGTTGTTGTCGAAACAAGAATGACATATTCGAATGTTCATGTCCGACATAGAAGGCGCGCACGCCTCTTTGGATCTCTCTTCTGCCGGATTCCTCCTCATCTATCAATTTAACGAGATGTTGCTCCATCTCCGTGTGTGCCTCGTGGGCATGCGCCATATCGGGGCCGTGGCGGCCAAATGTCTCTGATCCCGTGCCTTGCTGGAATCCATTTTGCGGAAGACCCCCAGATACCGGTGTAGCATGACCGCTCTGGAATGCAGTTGGAAAACTTGGTGGTAGTGGTGTCCCCGCTGCAAGGGCCAGGTTTGAAGTGGGATCGGATGTGGGTAGAGGCCGAGATCGGATCGGAACGGGATCTAGGATTGAGCGTACTGCAAGACGCTTTTTCTTTTCGTGTATGCGACAGTCGGCCTTTCCAGAGGCGCGACAGTTAGTGCAGGGTGTCCCGACGGTACGGGCATCGCAGCGAACCTTGCGCCGGTGACAGTGGACACAAGCTGCGGAGCCTAAGAGTTTTTTGAGTCACCGGTTAGCGAGTCTAATGGCGCAAAAATAACCGATAACCGAGAACAAAAAGAGACCGCAAATCAAGATGCACAAGGATCAGGCAGACAGGGGGCATTTGCACAAGCGCTTACCTTGTTTGCGCTTGCTCACCCCATCCACCGGGAGCGGCGAGGGGGCGTTATCGTTGACGGAGGACATGGCAGGAGTAGCATTGACATCATTCGTCTAAATCGGCCACGATTCTGCATTATTCGAGTCACCAACACCAGTCACTTCAAGGCATCGTGGGCGAACTCCGAAACGATTGCCGAGGATAATGCGACAACAAAATTAAAGAAACAAAAAAGTCGGGAAGTTGAGGGAACTGCGGGATCGGGTCTCTGGTGGAGACTCACGTGGATGCGGAGAAGCCGATTACGTAAAGATATGGGTCAACCTTGGAACCTTGGAAATTAAGGAAATCGTATCACAAGGTCATATTCCTCCTTGGGACTTGCGTTGGAATTGATATATCGTATACCCAGTCAATGCAAGGATGTCTTCATCTTCTGCTAGGACACCACTTTGGTGGGCTGAATACTGCCGTAGTTTCCTCTGGTCCATGGGTTGATCTATGTACATATTTGCCCGCACAGCCATACATAACGGCAAGCCACAGCATTGCGAATTTTATATGTATATACTACTGCATATTCTAGAACACTTAAGTTTCTGTTATGAACTACTTTTTTGTATGTTTATTTAGTCAACTCGAATCGCTAATGAATCTCATTTGGCCCCCGAAAGACCTCAAAGCACCGTTGGAGTTGGTTGAAAGAATCATTGAACGATTCAGGCGATACTTACATCACTTGGAACAACATCTCTCCCGCCCTACCGGAACAAATCTGGACGGTAGCTGCTATTCTAGCGGAGGTCTTCGTCTTTATTGCGTACCAGGCTGTGCCTAATACGCAGAGCCTCAATGACCTGATGTCTAAGCCACATACCTGAACAGTCTATAAGCCAGGCATACCAAGATGAATAATAAACCAAATGAACATCTTTTTCAAACCAAACCATATATCTAGAACTTCTCGCTTCAATCTAAGAATAGAGAAGAAAGCCAACGAGATCAACCGATCGGCTAAAAATACCTGAAGCGCTAACGACTTCCGTTTATCTAAGTCTTCTCGACGGAGTAACGTTTTTAGATATAGGTAAGAAATGCTTCTGAAGATGACCGGAGATCAATGCATCTAATATAGCAAAAATGGATAGGAAAGAAAGAAGATAGTAGGGAGTATGTAGATACTATACGGAGTGGGTCCCACCTATTATTGGTGCGCCACAACACTAGAAGCGCCCTAACTCGAACCCTGGAAGATCTACAGAGTACCACACTTGTATACAACATTTCGGCTTCACTTCCTTATAGTTTTATAACCTCTGCCATTGACCCCTAGGCTGACAGCTCCCTCATTTCAGCCCAGGAATTTATACAGGGAGCCAATGACGAGTGGAACCTTCACATCCAATTGTATTATGTACGGAGTGTTTAGCAATCAATAGATCGACTTGCTTTTTAGGACGCACGGACTTTATGCCAACTCAGCTCTTGGCTGCCAGCATTTGATTTGGGATTGGAGTCAATAATCTCCCGAAATAATTCAATTTATAAGCGGCAACATCATACTCCGTACACCGTATCCCTTGTTCGCTCTAATTGTGAAGGGGGCATTTATTTCATTATTGGTAAGGCTCCCTCAATTGAACGCTTTGGTGTGTGGTATAAGCCCAAAGGGTCCAGACCTCAAAGCAGCGTCTCGAGATAGTGTACCGAGCCCTTCCGAGCTATTTGAGATGGGCCCAAGCTATTCTAAAAAATGGGTACTCGAGACTGGCGGCCCCATTGGGTTGCCGATGCTTCCCACTCTTGGCCAATTACCCCTGGACAACACCCCAGTGATCTACATACATAAACACGAGAAGGGATAGTTGCATATACGGGTACATACATAGTTTCGGAGCGAAGATCTCTGGCTTAACCGAACTGCTCTACTCCGTATTAAAGTTGCGAATCATATCCCCCTGCGTCATCCACCACGCTGCGGCTCAATTGTATTGAAGTATTTAAGGACTCCACACCACTCTTGTATAACTCCCTAATATTTGAATGTATTCCTAATATCCCATTGTAATTTCAGCTCTTACTATTATTTTCATGGGTGTACAGCCTCGAGGGCGCTCAATAATCCAATAGACATGAAGCCGTCTATCCTATTTTGTTTCATCGGACTAGGTGCTGCTTTACATCTAGTTTCACCTCGCCTGACAAAAAAGTTCGAGCTCAATCTAACTTGGGGCACCAAGGCGCCCGATGGAGTTGAGCGTCAACAAGCCTTGATCAATGGCCAATTCCCTGGGCCGCCTCTCATCTTTGATGAGGGCGACGATGTGGAGATAACAGTGAACAATTTCCTGCCATATAACACCACAATGCATTGGCATGGCATTGAGTGAGTCTTCTCGGAAAATAACTTGGCTCACCACTAAGACAAAAATAGGCAACAAGGAACATCATGGTCAGATGGTGTGCCTGGAGTCTCGCAAAGACTTATTGCCCCTGGCGGAAAATTTATTTCCAAATTCACTGCTTCACAATACGGAACATACTGGTAAGTGGATCTTCCTAGTAATAAGTTTTATTTTACTAACAGTTGAAGGTATCATTCACATTGCGCGGGACAAATAATGGATGGCCTGTATGGGCCGATTTATATCAGGTTTGCTCATACCTACCCGAATCGAAATCCTACCTATTCGCGCAGGCGACTGAGTGATTATGACCCAGGCCGCGAGACATTACCACAAACTTGGCTAGCATGATATCAAATGACACACGAGCACATTCTCAAATCAACAACGCCATTCGAGATCCCAAATTGCTGATGATTTCCGATTGGTATCACAATACAGCAGAAGAGCTCCGGGATATTGCAGTTTCTGCAAACCTTGATACACTGTAAGCCCCATGGAGGCATTGTGAGAAAATGGGCTTATAACGATTCTAGATGTGCAGATTCTATCTTGATCAATGGCAAAGGTAGAGTGCGCTGCGTCGACCCTGCCTATTCGACCAGTCTGATTCCTGCCCCATTGGCTCCCCTACTCCAGGGCATGAACTACACAGCAAAAGGGTATGTAATAACTCCCAAAGTGCGGGTTAGAAAGCTGACATTTAGTTCAATATAAGATGTCTGCCAGTTAAAAATACCTTTGCTCAAACAACATTTTCGCGGCATAACTACACCGCAATCCCAGCATCCATGTTTGACCAATGCAATGCCACAGAGTCCAAGGAGGAAGTAGTCAAAGTTGATCCTTGGAAGGCCTGGGTAAGCCTCAATCTCATCGGTTCGGCATCGGTCTCCGTCCCAACAGGTATGTTTGATGTTGTACTTTACCAGATACATAGGTTCCAAAAAGAGCAAGCTAATCCCGTTCGCTGAATACAGTCTCTATCAATAATCATTCTCTTTGGGTATATGAAGTCGATGGTCGATACATTGTACCCACCAAAGTTGATGTATGATACTATCCATCTCACTTCATATTCTGCGAAGTTATAAACATCGCACTAACCAAGAATCATTTTCTAGGCACTGACACTCAGTAACGGTGGTCGCTACTCTGTTCTAGTTCAATTGAATAACACACCAGGCAACTACCTGATCACAGCAGCGAATGCAGGACTCAATCAAAAAGTTGCCGGATACGGCACTTTCTCCTATGTCAACGGTGACCCCTCCGTCGTGGGAACACCCTCAATCAACTACGGTGGAAACAGCATGAGTACAGATGTTGTTGTCCTAGACGAAAATAATATTAGGCCACTTATCCCAAGTCGACCTAGTGCACAAGCGGACCAAACCTACCTGCTCACCGTTGGCCGTATTGAGAAAGCCTGGAAATGGTCTCTCAATGGAGATCATTCGTACGGTCTGTCTCTGGAGTCTGAGAAGCCGATGCTATGGGACCCTCAATCATACGCAGACAGTGACCTGGTTATCGCTACAAACAACGACACCTGGGTGGATATTGTTTTCGCGGTTTCTGGTAATGCATCGACTCTCCAACCTGGTCATCCGATTCACAAGCACTCAAACATGGTTTATGTCCTGGTTAGTTACCTTGAATACATCCTTCGAGTATAAATTTCGTTGCACGGATTCTGATTTGTGTGTTCAAGGGTGTCGGCATGGGCGAGTTCAAGTGGGCTTCTGTCGCAGAGGCTCAACAGGAAATCCCAGAGATGTTTAACCTGGTCGACCCTCCGATGAGAGGTATGAGATACAAAGCTTTCGTTGTGGTTGTTCTAGTGCTAGGAACTAATTTATGGAATAGATACCTTCACAACGCTTCCTGCCTTGCAAGGTCCAAGCTGGTTGGCAGTTCGCTATCATGGTAGGTCTCCCAATCGCTTTTCTTCCTCTCTTCGCTCTTCTCATTTCCCTATTTTTGAAAACCAAGAAGCTAATATGGTTTGGTTTGACAGTGCAAAATCCTGGGGTAAGGCATCAATCCATGTAGAAACTCTCGCATCTTCCGCTAACCAGATAGGCCTTCTTCCTCCATTGCCATATCGATCCGCACCTCACTGGAGGGATGGCGTAAGTTACCAGTATCTTGAAGTTAGCATTTCACAACAGATATTAACCAAGCTTCCAGACTCGCAATCTTGGATGGCATAGATGCGTGGCCTAGCATTCCTACACAATATGGCCCGAGGGGTCATTGGGGGAAAGCTGGTCAAATAGAAAGCATTACGGATGATCATGGCTATAAAGGGTAACCACTTTTGAACTCGGTTTTTCTATGTTCACTTCATATGAGAAATGGCACTGCCCTATGTGGATGAATGGATGGGCGGTCATTTGGCCTAGCGGTTGTCGTTGGCGACATTTGGCGCACTGCCACCTTGCATCCCCGTCCATCCTCGGTTTGAGTGCCGTTTGATTTCAAGCTGCCGGACCGCCTCCGGGTGATGACTCTTTTATTTCTTTATTTTCATACTTATCAATCATAATTCTTTCAAAAGTATGCACACAGCATGGGCCAAAGACCAGGACAAACTAGTTTGGAACAATACCCTTAAGTCTAGCTTGTCCTTCCAGACCTGCCTTCATAATCATACCGAAGATCTCAAGATCTTCCCTAGCATCCTTCGAAGTGGTTTTAGCCGGCTTACTCTCAACAACAAATGCATAAAGCTCCTTCATTTCCAAAGTATAAGCATCCTCATACGTCTTCCGAACCACAGACTCCCGGAATGAGCCATCTTCCAACTTCTCACGAATGTGCATAGTGGTAGGCAATCCCTTGACGTAAGGCGAATCAAAGCAGACCTTGACAGTCTTATTCCCACCAAAGACCTCGATCGACGCGTCGAAACGGGGGACATCATCAATTCCAGACTCGTAAGACACAGCAAAAGAGGGATATTGGAAGAGGGCACTGGAGTAAAAAGAAATCAACATATCGCCCAGAACCACAGATATAGAACTCGCAACTTACCTCCAGAACGGCGGCCCCTTCGCAGAGCACAGAGAAGCACCAAGCACAGCCGTCGGCATACCAAGAGCCTCTCTCATGGCACTAAGATCATGCGAGCCAAGACTTCCCAAGTTCCTCCACTGAGCAGCGGTATCAGGCGTAACCGGAATCCCCAATTCCGCCGTCAAAGCCTGTTCAAGGAACTCGTTTGTCCTGCTCGACAATTCCTTCACATTCTCTGCTCTGTAATCAGAGAAAACCTTAGGAAACGTACCAGACTGACCAACGAAATCCGAGTTCGGGCCGACGATATCTCGCACGCGCGCATAGCACACTTGATCAAAGCTTCCTATTTCCTTGACGGCGTCGATGAAGCTACTCGCATACCGCCGCATATATCCCACCATCAGCTTTCCGGAGGTTTGCTTTTCGAGCTCGATGAGCTGGTCCGCATCTTGCAGGGAGAGAGCCATGGGTTTCTCGATGAAGACGACTTTGCCGTGTTCAAGGCCTAGTACTGCGTGGGGAACGTGGAAGGCGTCGCTGTTGGCAATCATCACGATGTCTACGTCCGGGGAGGCGCAGAGCTCCTTTGCATTGCGAGTTGTGTTTGGGGTGCCCCCAATGACCTTTTTGGCACAGTGCTCGAGCGCATTGTCGGAGACATCACACAGGTAGGTGACTTGGAAGTAATCTGAGAGGAACCCGAGAGTTGGAATGTGGGCAACTTGGGTGATTTCGCCACATCTGGCTAGAATATTAGCATCAACTGAGCACAGCCCTTTCGCAATGGATTCCTTACCCAATTATTCCAACGCGAAGGATCCTGTTGCCGGTGGTCATCTTGAATGTGTGTTGTGATTATCGGCTTCCCCAATGACGTAATAGTTAGAGAACCTTAAGGTTCCAAGGTTGAAAGATGATTCTAACAAAATCTCAGGGAATTTGTGCAGGACAATTAATACACCAGGTTAGATGTTTCGAATGAATATGCTGGGGTAAATTGAATTGAAAGAGCGCTGATCCGATGCCCCGCGAGGTGGAACAGCTCTGGAGCCCCGCTGAACTTCGCTGAACTTCGCTCTCAGACGCTTTTTGTTGACACATTGGCTGAATACGAATACCGTCAACATTAAGATCCCTTGCAAAATAAGACACATAGTAGGGGAGAATATTGCATTTACTCCAACATTGAAATGTACAGATTGTAGACTTAGTCTTGAAGTCCCGCAGATCAACACCGTTAACTACATGTAGTTTGGCCACCAAACGTCAATACCTATTTGTTGGAGGTCAACTTTTGGAGACAAGCACAGGTAGGACACTAATTTCTTGGAATGGGTACCTTAAAGCAGACGAAGAGGAGAGAATCACTCAAACCACGTACTATGTATTCAAAAGCATTGCCTATCAGCGTAATGTGTTACTTCGTCATAGATCTATAGAAGCTGGGATCATACATGTATTCAGATTTTCATTTCCTCATTTCCTCATGTGTTATGGTTGCATCTTACTTTATTACGGCTTCCTTCAAGCTATCTTGGGCTGATACATGCAAACTCCCGGCTCTGCCATCTCATGACATTACTGAGGCTCCAGAGCCCCAGCTGAACAATCTATGATTCAGAACTTATGGGTATATTTTTTCTACTATGATAAGGAGCTAATCTTGCAAGTTTGACATCAAAGCACAAATCAACGCTGCATTATGTCTAGCCTTTTGCCGTCCCCAGTAACGCCGGTAGCCTATTGCTCTCACACTCAGACAGCACCACCCGGGAACACGTAAATTGAAAGTATACAGAGAAAAGGAATGCCACTAAGGCTGCACGACCTGGATGTTGTTCTTCTTCTGCAAAGAGGAATTAAGGTCAGCACTGCCCATATCAAGTCCCCGGGATATGGTTCCGGGCTTAGGAACAGCCATGAAACAGGAGATTCGCTTACCTTCCAGGTATCCAGCTCACCCTGCTTTGACTTGTACTGCTTGAGCATGTCCTCCAATACTTGCTTCAACCCATCCGAGTTGGTCTTGAGTGTAGGAAGCACATCTTTGACGGTGCGCTCAACTAAAACGCCATTCACCATGCGGAAACATTTGCGGTCTGCGGCGAGAGGGTCGAGGGTTTCAATCACAAGTCTGAAAAAAACAGGTATTAGCATTGTACATCTTCGTTGAGACATCGCTGGTTGTGCTCGCTTGTGGTAAAGCCCCCAATTCCGACTATGCTGGGACAGCGCATAACCCTAATAATGACTCACTTGTGCTCTTCTGCCTCTTGCTCAATATCACCGATCTTTTGTGCTAATTGCTGAAGGGTGTTCTTGAAGTTGGTGTATTGGTGCTGAAGCTCTGGATTGAGGGGTTCGCATCAGCTTCCGCGAATTCTTAGGGTTTGCAGGGACAATAGTAAAAGCATACCCTGCTGCTTCTTAGGGTCAATCTGTTTCTGGCTAGACATGATGGCTGTTTGAGACGGTGTGGTCGGCACGAGAAAGCTTGAGAAATTGAGATGACGATGCGGGGCGGTTGCTTTTTGGTGTTGGTGGAGGTCACTATTATAGTCCTTTTGATGCACCTCTCACCTCATATCTGAGTCAATTTAGCTCTACATCTCACATAGATCTACTCAAATACCCAAAACAACTCCAATATTATTAAAATAATTCTTGATTCAATTCTATACTGTCAATTATATGCTCTTCAAGAAGTAAGTTGGAGATCACGTGACTGATATCGGAGTTTGCAATGTTTGATTGTGATAGTAACAAGATGATCAGCTCGACGCCATCACTTACCTCTACAATGTAAAGTAAAGGTCGCTTCAGGTCGGCAAGACTACTAAGAAGCTATCTTCTTAAGAATTACAAGCTAAATAATGCTGATAACATTGTCTTTTTGGAACCTTGGAAGACTACCTAAGTTGAAACTGGACTTCTAGGGCGGTGTGTCTCTCTGGCAGTAAAAGGCGGTAAGGCTTTGGCGCTATAGGGAAAGAGGGTCGACTCCGCGGAATCACTCTACTTTCTCATAAAGTCACCCCCACGCGGACCAGACCGAGTCGTACATTGCGAATACCTCAAGTCCTAAACCTGGCTTACGAGCCTGGCTGAACGACATGTCTCGCAACGATATGGGCCCTCCGGCCAAAAGGCACAAGGGCTTTGGACACCTCCCTCCAGGCCTACGCGACGCAAAACGCAAAGACATTGACAACTGGGAGACCAATCGAATGCTCACCTCTGGTGTAGCGCAACGACGAGACCATGAGGGCGACTTCTTGCCCGAAGATGAAGAAGCGACTCGAGTTCATTTGCTCGTCCACGACCTCCGGCCGCCTTTTCTCGATGGTCGCACGATCTTTACGAAGCAGCTGGAGCCGATCTCCGCTGTTCGTGATCCGCAAAGTGACATGGCCGTATTCAGTCGGAAAGGAAGCAGGGTCGTTAATGAGCGCCGACAGCAGCGCGAACGACAAAAGCAAGCACAGGAGGCAACAAATGTGGCTGGCACAGCCCTAGGGAACTTCATGGGCATCAAAGAGGACGAAGGAGACAGCGCAGTCGCCCTGCCTATCGAGGAAACCTACAAAGGAGGAGGAAACAAATTTGCCAGACATATGAAGAAAGGCGGTGGTGGCGCCAGCGCTTTCAGCAATAGTAAGACCATGCGCGAACAGAGAGAGTATCTTCCTGCATTTGCCGTGCGCGAGGATCTAATGAGAGTCATCCGTGATAACCAAGTTGTGATTGTCGTTGGAGAGACTGGATCTGGAAAAACCACCCAGCTCACTCAATTCCTACACGAGGATGGCTATTCTAAGTTCGGTATGATCGGATGCACGCAGCCTCGCCGTGTGGCTGCTATGAGTGTCGCAAAGCGTGTCAGTGAGGAGATGGATGTTGATCTCGGTGCACTCGTCGGATACGCTATCCGTTTCGAGGATTGTACAAGTGATGAGACGGTGATCAAATGTGAGTTTCTCCCTTTCTGGGTTTCATCCTTTCCGCTTTGGTGTGATCATGTAGCTAATCTATATACTAGACATGACGGATGGCGTTTTACTACGTGAATCTCTCACCCAAAAGGATCTTGACAAGTACTCGTGCATCATTATGGA